TGTGGCACTCCAGGAAACACATCTGAAATCTGGAGAAAATATCTCTGTAAAAGGATTCGATCTCTACCGAAAGGATGATGATAGCCACAATCATGCCAGTGGCGGTGTGGCTATTCTGGTTTCCAATTGCATCCCATCCTTGCTGGTACAAATAACAACAGAGCTGCAAGCTGTGGCAGTCAAAATTTCAATTGGCATAACTGTCACAGTTTGTTCTATATACTTGCCACTAGATATCAGAGTGAATGAAAATGAATTGGATGTATTAGTTGAACAGCTGCCAACACCACTTCTTTTACTTGGTGATTTTAATGACCACAATCCTATGTGGGGCAGTCCCGACATCAATCATCGAGGCAGAGCCATTGAAAGATTTATAAGTAATCACCAACTGTATTTATTTAATACTGGAGAAGTGATGTATTTTCATGCCCCAACAAGAACATTCACTGCCATTGATCTATCATTAGCAACTCCAAACCTGTTTTCAGCATTTACATAGGAGGTTGGATCTAATCCACTCTCTAGTGACCACTTCCCAATATTTCTAAAATATCAAGGCAGAGAAAGCTGTGAAATTGGAAACAGCCAATTGGCCTGTTTTTTCCTCTATGGCCAATATCACTGAGGATATGGTGAATATTGCTGATATCAATGATGCAGTTGAAGTTGTCACTTCCAGTATCATACAAGCAGCTGAAAAAACAATGGGGAAAACATCAACCAGATACCCAAAGCATCCGAAACCATGGTGGGATCAGAATTGCGAGACAGCATTTAAAAAACAAAAGAAAGCATGGGGTCTTTTCAGAAGATACCCTACTGCTGAAAATTTGGTTGCTTTTCAAAAGGCAAATGCCAGAAGAATAAGAAGGCAAAGCCAAAGGGATTCTTGGAGGAAGTATGTTTCTAGCATAACATCTTCCACTAGCTCAAAAACAATCTGGGATAAAATCCATAAAATCAATGGGAAATATGCTTCTCACTCTGTCCATGCTAGAAAGTAATGGCACAATAATCAGCGATATACAGGGTATTGCTGATACGTTGGGTGAAACATTTTCGTCTTCATCCAGCAATACTATGTATCCAAGGAATTTTCAGGTTTATAAAACCCAAAGTGAAAAACAATATTTAAACTTTCACTCCCCATCTAATGAGGAATATAATGTGCCTTTCACTAGAATTGAATTACATACAGTGATCTCTCGCTCGGGGAATAGTGCTGTAGACCTGGATAAAATCCACTATAGCATGATTAAGAATCTGTCAGACAATTCCCTTAGTAACCTTCTGAATCTGTTTAACAGAATATGGACAGAACATACTTTTCCCGACTCTTGGAGACTATCTATCATTATTCCCATTCCCAAGCCAGGTAAAGACCGCAAGAATCCCTCTAATTACAGACCAATCTCTCTGATGAGTTGTCTCTGTAAACTGTTCGAAAGAATGATAAACAGACGTCTGATATGTCTCTTAGAGAAAAATGAATACTTTTCACCACATCAGAGTGGTTTTCGTAGGAACAGAAGTACAATGGACAACTTAGTAAACCTTGAAACATCTATACGCGAAGTGTTTGTTAGACGACAGCACTTAGTGTCTGTGTTTTTTGATATAGAGAAGGCCTATGATCGCTGTTGGTGATACGGGATATTCCGTGATCTGTACGAATTCGGGTTGCGTGGTAATTTGCCAATTTTTATAAAAAACTTCCTACAGAATTGAAGATTTCAAGTCAGGATGGGCAACACACTATCTAGGCTCTTTACACAAGAAGAAGGTGTTCTTCAAGGTTGTATTTTGAGTGTGACTCTGTTCCTAATCAAAATTAACAGCATAGCTAAGTGTCTTCCTCCTAGTGTAAAACACTCTCTGTACATGGATGACTTTCAGATCTCCTGTCAGTCTAGTAACATGAATTTCATTGAGAGACAACTACAAACCTCTCTAAATTGCATAGACAATTGGTCCAAGACCAATGGTTTTACCTTTAACACGGAGAAGACCTCGTGCATCAACTTTTGCCGAAGACGTGGTTTGCACCTGGATCCAGAAATTTACCTAAAATCCCAATGGTGAATGAGGCTAAGTTTTTGGGTGTTTCTTTTGACCAAAAATTGACATTCTTGCCACACTTGCACAACTTGAAGAGTAGATGTTTAAAATCTCTAAACGTTTTAAAGGTACTATGCTGCTCATCCTGGGGAGCAGACAAAGTTTCTATGCTCAAGATTTATAGGGCCCTTGTCTGCTCTAAGCTGGACTATGGTTGCATTGTTTATGGCTCTGCGCGAGAATCTACTTTTCGGATGCTGGATCCAATCCACCATCAAGCACTGCATTTGTGCACTGGTGCTTTTCGAACTTCTCCTGCCCAAAGTTTGTATGTGGATGCTTATGAGCCTCCACTATCCCAGAGGAGAGAACAGTTGTCTCTTTTTTACTACATTAAACAGAAATCTCTGAATAGACTTTCAGCTAATAATTCAGATACACAGCTGAAAAGATTATTTGCAGCTCGGACAAGTAGTGTCCCCACATTCTACATAAGAATGGAGAATTAAGCAGCATGATTGACTTTAACACAAGCAACATCTCACAAGTTGAGGTTAATAGCATTCCACCTTGGTCAACCCCAGCGATAGATGTTGATTTGAGCTTAAAGCAGTTCCCCAAAGAAACCACACCAGACTACATCTATAGACAGCACTTTGCAGTAATTCAACACAGTGACAGGAATTTAATTCCTATTTATATTGATGGATCAAAATTGGAAGACTACATTGGCTCAGCCTTTGTCTGCCAAGATGAAATCGTTACAAAACAAATAGCACTGAATTCTTCCATTTTTTCTGTGGAGTTGCAGGCTATTTATTTAGCCCTAAAGTATATAAATAGGAAAGGTCATCATTGCTGCATGATTTAAAGTGACTCAGTTAGTGCACTTCAGGCTTTGATCTTGTGTGAACCTAGTTCTCACTCTATAGTGATTAAAATTCAGAAACTAATTTGCCATCTTATTATGTGCAACTCCTCTATAAAGTTTTGTTGGGTCCCAGGCCACGTGGGTATAAGAGGAAATGAAGATGCTGACACAGCTGCAAAGTCAGAAAGTCCCTCACAGCATGAAATGTGTATTGAAGGAGGTGATTTGAAGCTAGTCATTAAAAAACGACTAGCAGAGAGATGGCAAATTATGTGGAATGCACAAATCCACAATAAACTACATGAGATCAAACCTTTGGTTGAAAATTGGACACATAATAGGCAATATGATAGGAGATCTGAGGTTGTCCTTACTCGTTTGAGAATTGGACACACTCGACTGACTCATCAATACCTTTAGAAGGGTGATGATCAACCTGTATGTCAGTACTGCAACTGTACAGTTAGTGTTAAACACATTCTTTGCAACTGCATTGCTTTTGATCAAAATCGTAGACAGCATTTCGGAAATGCAAGTTGGAGAGAGATTTTAGGCCAGAGGCCAAATCTTGACAAAATACTGAATTTTTTGAAAGTTATAAAATATTTACTAAGAAATATAATTATTTATTTATTAAATACAGTGATACCTCGACTTACGCTACCCCGACTTACGCGAACCCGGAGTTACGCGATTTTCAAATCTCGTCGATTCGTCTTTTGTTTGAGCACCACGCAACTCTTGATTACTCATTCCCTCCACACTATTGTTTAACTTACATGTTCGGACGTGTCGCGCGGAATCGACACATAGCTACAATTTATTTTGTGTTATATATTTCTGTGTTTGTTATATCTACAGACACTTCAGAGACTTTATGTGGTGATTTCTTGCAACCGTGAACGAATCAAAAGACGAGATAAGATTAAAAAGAACATTTATTAGCTTACATACGTCCGATTTGGATTTTACACAAATTGCGAAATTATACTCCGACTTACGCGGTTATCGCTCGGTCCCACCTATCGCGTAAGTTTGAGGTATTATTGTACTTATATTTATTTTGTTGTTTTGTTTATTTGCAGTTATTTATGTTTGTGTTTTACCAATATCCTATGTTATTTATTTATTATACACTTATATTTATTCCGTTGTTTTGTTTATTTATGGTTTTGTATTTTATTAGTTTCTGATGAGATATATATTTAGTTTTGTGTAATGTTATTTTTTGTTATGGTGCAGCATAGCCTTCATGGCTCGTGCAAAAAAACTTGAACTAACCAACCAACCAACTTTTTAAAAGTCACTAATTTGTGTAAAGAAATTTAATTATTTATTTATATATCTATTTATTTATCTTTTACCTTTTTGTTTGCTCTAGTTTGTTATTAATATGTATATATTTGTTTTTTGTTGTTGTTGTTGTTGCTGTTGTTTATTTATTTATTTGTTTATTTTTGTTATTTGTGATGTTTATAATTATTTACCATTTGTTATGGCGCAGCTTAGCCTATTTGGCTCTTGTGCCAAAAAACCAATACTAACCGACCAACCTTTAAGGTAAGTTAATGTTGTTGATAATATCTTTGATGTTAATTGAGATAAAATCTAAAAATTAACACTTCTGGATTTTACTTTATTGATTGTTTTTGTGTCTACTGTCTTTTTTGCAAGTAATATCATTGTAAATTTTATGTAGATTTTATTCTGAACTTAATACTGATTTAATTTTTTTTAAATCAAAATATTTTTCAGCTTATTTTTTGACTAATTGATTATTGAACTACACTCATGTTCAGAAAATTCCAGTAGTTTCTGGGATATGGGCTAAATTAATGGTTATGCTTATTTTTTAGATATAAGTGTTTATAGTGGCCTATAAATAGTCTTTAATATACACATTATCAGTAATTGAAGCTTTAGTAACCTAGCAATAACAAATACAATAAATGTTTTAAAAAACTCTTATTAAATTTTATCATCACAAATTATTCTATGTTAGTTTTTATATATAATACTTTTATAAAATGTTTTATTTTAAAATATAGTTCAAAAGAGCAAAGAATTTTTCACTTTTGATGCAGAACACTTAAAACTTAAATATCTAAATAAGGACTTAATTAAAACTAAGGTAATTAAAAGGTTTTTAATTTATAATGATTACTATATTTTCAAACTAAATGTTATTTTTTATTTTTTTAAAACGTATTCTTGATATTGTCTTTTTAATTTTTTCAAGTTGTTTACTCCTAAAGCTTATGATCCCAAGGTGCAAATTCCATATGTAGTGCCACATGGAGTGTGTCCCAGAGAACTAGCAATTTTGAGGTGAAGATAATATGAAATAAATATAAATTTCAGTTTATGATTTATAAATTTTATGATATGAGATAAAGATAAATGATGAAAATACTTGTGTAGTAGAGATATTTTGAATAAGGTTGATATGATATGAATTTTTTTCAGATTGAAAAAAACTTTTTCTAANATCATCACAAATTATTCTATGTTAGTTTTTATATATAATACTTTTATAAAATGTTTTATTTTAAAATATAGTTCAAAAGAGCAAAGAATTTTTCACTTTTGATGCAGAACACTTAAAACTTAAATATCTAAATAAGGACTTAATTAAAACTAAGGTAATTAAAAGGTTTTTAATTTATAATGATTACTATATTTTCAAACTAAATGTTATTTTTTATTTTTTTAAAACGTATTCTTGATATTGTCTTTTTAATTTTTTCAAGTTGTTTACTCCTAAAGCTTATGATCCCAAGGTGCAAATTCCATATGTAGTGCCACATGGAGTGTGTCCCAGAGAACTAGCAATTTTGAGGTGAAGATAATATGAAATAAATATAAATTTCAGTTTATGATTTATAAATTTTATGATATGAGATAAAGATAAATGATGAAAATACTTGTGTAGTAGAGATATTTTGAATAAGGTTGATATGATATGAATTTTTTTCAGATTGAAAAAAACTTTTTCTAAAATAAATTTAATAACTTTACTTCAAGAAGCAAATATTACAAATGAAGCTTTAATTCCTAATAAACAAGAAAACTTTGAATTACTGAAAGACAAACAGTCTTTAACTTACAGATTTAAACTTGATGAATACTTACATTTTTTGCCCTTGGAAATGTTTGATGACAATGAATTTGATTGTCGTACACCACAAGAGTGGTTATCACTTGGCAGAATAGACAATGATACTTATCTTGTACCTGGAATTGCTTTTTTAAAAGCCTCCAAAGATAAAGGTAAATGCTCTGAATTATTTAAGTTTAAACTAAACAAATAATTTAGAAATAATTAATTAATTAATAATAATTAGTTAATACAGCAATGCCTTTTACTTCAGATTTAATTTGTCAGGAGGCATTTAACAATAAATTGTTCAAAGTTGGAATCAGTTTTCCCAATTAGAAATAATGGAAACTAGATTAGTCTGTTCCTAGATCCATTTCAATAAACTTAAACAGCAAATACACATAATTTTAGATAAAAGTAACACAATTAAATATCTTTAAGTAATAAGTTAAAACATGAAAACAATAAAATATCTATATTGTAGTGTCTTGGGATCACTAAGATTCAGACTTAGTGTTGGGTAAGGATACTAAGGGCTGCACAAGAAAAGGAGGTCACATAATAAGTAATTCTGAACAACCACTTTATGATACATAAGTTAATGTACAGTACAGCACACAGATCTAATCTTCCTAGTGCATGTTACGTGGCACTCACGTAACATGCACTAGGGGCTTAACACCTCATAACTCTAATATACTTATTACTAGGAATAGCGATACTTAGTCTAAAAAAAAAAAAAAAGATATTTACAATATTTACAGTGATGATCGCATGTTGGTTTCCATTAATACACACTTATTGTTGCTAGCATAACCTGATGTCCGTTGTTACTAGTGGATCACAGTACAAATTGATACCCAACAATTAAAAGAGAAAAACACCAAAAATAACCTTAGATACAGGTTATTTCCTTAACCTTCTTTGTTGTCCACAAAAGTCTCTGGACTCGACAGTCAATTGTTACCCAATCCAAGTGGATCCCAAATGAAAAGTCTGTTATGTCACCCTAATTTCCAGTCGTAGACATTGACCCTTCTCGCTGTTGTCCTTTTGGTCAGGGGCTCGAGAGTCTTCACCAGGTATAATCCAGAAAGAAAAGGTGATCTGCACATGTCCCACATGTGTTTTTATGTTTGCCGCCATCTGGGACTTCAGCCTTAGTCACGTGGTGTCATGACAACCAATCCTGATTAAGCAGGCAGCAGCCACCAAAAGTGGTGCATGACAAATGGAAAAATTACAAATATACTAGTAATACGACAAAAAGTAGAAAACTTGATACGAACGACTACAAAGTACCTAATATAAATAAGGCTGGGAAACAAAAATAGTGACGGAGCACTACAATATACTGTATAATACAATGAAAATTGAAATTAATATACAACTGTAGGGTTTCTCACAAATAATACTCTTGGAGATGATATCAGCCAATTGCTTTTAATTTATCCACACTAGGAGGAGTTTTTCCATCTCCTCAATAACATGTGATCTCTTGGAGGTCAACATTGTCATACCTTTAGTTACTTCGCTGTTTTTATTGCTTTTTTTTTTAAGAATGGTATACACCATGAACTTAAACATTACTGTCAGACCTGCCACATTATACTACTATCATGCTTCACCATAAATTCATTTTTACCTCAATTATTTATATCACACCCTTCCTCTTTGCTTTATTGCTTCCTCACTCTCTTGTATGCCATAATTAATAAGTAGGGATTATATAGATAAAACTAAACACATCAATAATAAAGCAAAAATAGCACTGAAAACACGAATGTAATGCAAGAGATGCTTTTACAGCAAGAACAATAGAGATGATTTGTGCACACAATACATGGTATTTATAAAGCAAGTGCACTTTTCCAACAGATGATATTTATGTGGAAACATTGTTTGAACCATTGATCAGATTTCTCAAATTTAGTGTTTGAACTCTAGAACATTCAAAATTAGAATTGTTTGAAATATGAGACATCACTTTATATATAAAATTTATATAATATGCTAAATTGCAAAAAATGTTGTTAATTTGTTTCATATTATTTTAATGCATTTACTATAATAATAAATTAGAATGAATCAATATCTTTATTATTTCAGAATCAGATTATCAATGGGTTGAAGTAGCTGTGTGTAATTATAATCCTGTTACAAGTTGCTTTTTAGTTAAGAAAATTTCAGAAATAAATAAAGGTTTTTAGAATTTTATTATTTTATAAATATTTTATGTTATATCATTATGAAATATTAAAAAAAATCATATTTAAAATTTATAAAATAATATTAATTTATTCTGTTATCAGTTGAATTAATAGGAGAGTACTGGATTCCAAGGATATATTTAATGTTTTTGGCTGAAAATCCAAAAATATTTGTAAAAAGAATTTTAGCTGCATTAAAATTGAGAAGAGAAACAGAATTTCATTTAAGATATAATTTTTATATCAATCAAATGTTTACTCAAAATTTACCAATACTTGATTCACAGTCAATAGAGATAATATTAAATAAAGCAGTAAAAAATTATTCACAGTGAGTATATAATTTTAATTTTCAATTAAGAATAGATTAAGAATTGTAGATTCTAAATACATTTTTATTAATAAATCTTACATATTTTTAATAATAATATGAAGTTTCTTTAAAATGAAAGTTTTGGGGTATCAATATGTAAGTGTGTTCAAAAATAAAATATATAGATAGCTAGTTTTCTAAGAGTTTTAATTTTCTATGTTTATGTGGAAAGTCTTTTACATGAAATGCAATATTTTTTGCTAATTGGGCTACAGTTTGAAAAAATTGTAGATGTATAAATTCCCAATGTCATTCATCTGTTGTCTGTCCTTCCTTAATCTAAAAAACAGTGTTAGATAAATGAAAGTTGAAACCCAAATGTGGAAATCTTAGTGGCAGGAGACCCAATTAACTATATACAAACTTCTGATATAAACTTGAAAGTCACATTATTTTAATTTGAAAATTTTCTGCAGAAAGGAGTGATTTAGATGACCAACATGACTCACTCTACTGTTATGAGGAAAACTATGATGTACAGGCGCAAGCTTCTACCAAAATGGACAGAGAGCATATATTTTAAATTAAATAATTAAAAATTGCAGCCCAGCATTATGGTGGTGTCACAATAAATACTTGCTCATTACTTTTATAAATATTTGTTATTATGAATATGAAAGCCTAATTTTGTCTACACTGCTAAAAGTAAATAATTCACATTATAGCATAAAAACCTTTTTAAACATTGAATTGAATTTAATTTTGAATTAATTTAACAAATTTTACAAATATTAATTTGGTAACAAAAGTTTGATTTTATGTAGCCTGCTTGATTTAGAAATTATTTACATATTTTTGTGATAATAAATGATAGTCATTTATGATATCTAAAAATTTACAACGATTTTATTTACTTTAGGTATCAAATGTTTATTTCTGAAGTAACACAAGATATAATTTCAAATTATCATCATACATTTAATGAACTTACATTTAGAGAAGTTATTCCTAAATATCCAGATATATTTTCTAATATTAACATACCAGAAAAAAAGAAAATGAAAATATCTGAGAAAGGTATCTCAATTGAATTTACTTTATTTTAAAAAATATAATATACTAGTACATTTTTTGATTACACTTAAAAGTAGATACAAACTAAATATAATTTATAAATTTTAATTCTTATTTTTTAAGAAATGATTAAAATTTTTAAAAATTATTACAAAAATTATTAATTTTATTAGGTTATGAATATGATGGTATTGTCATGTTTGAAGAATTGAGATTTCAGTTTTGTAATCATACTTTTATGACAAAAAAGGAAATTGTACTTGCCTTAGTTGGTATAATACTAGAATTAATTAAAATTGAGGATATGAGGCTTTATAAATTAAAAAGAATTGAAGCTTCTAGATTAGAAGAATTTGTAAAAACTCAAGAAGAATCTGTAAAATATGTAATTATCATTTTAAAAAGTTGTTGTCAATAATAATTATATTTATTTATTTAATATATTCAAATATTCATATTGATATTTATTTAATAATAATNTTAATTTGTTTATTTCAAATATAAAATACAAATATTCAAATGTTATAAAAAGATTGAGTATAATTTTTAAATATATTATTTTATAACAAAAATATGTTCTCTCCAAATTTTCTTGCTGGGTTAAACTTAAGCTCTGTGATTTGTTAATGACACAGCCAATGCTAGACTGCAGTTACATGTTTTCCATAAGGTACTGTATGCTCTCCAATTATAAGTTGACTGTGCTCCATTATTATGAATTTATTCTTGATTTTGTTTATTGTGGTGAAGTTTGAATTTTTGATTAAGTATAAGTTTATTACATAAAATGAATCACAAAATATTTTTATTATATTGATGTATATTTTTTTTTATTATAATAATAATAAAAAAAAATATACACCAATATAATAATAAGAAAAGAAGGAAAGTTAGGTTTTAGAAAGTTTAGATTTACTTGAGAGAAAGAAAGTTAAGAACATTACAGCATTTGTTTATATTTATTTCAGATTAAATCATTCACTCTATTACAATTTGGAATTTGATCCAATTAGGCATAGTCTTCATTGTATGCACATAAAAAACAAAAAGATGACCTTTACACTTGACTTTTGAGAATTAAATGTCAGGATTTTTACTTTCTTTTTTGATCTTCATTAGATTTTATTTTATATTCCTTCATTTGATCTTGAAATCAAAATTTATTGATGCAGCTATATGATGTAACATTTTTTTGGTCACCTGGATTTTGATTACACTAGAACTTTTTCAACACAGATAATTGGTATTTCTACTATAGTAAAACCTGCAAAAGCTGTAACTTGATGAGACTGTCTTCTTTTTCTGTGTCTAGCAACTTTTCTACCATTGACTGGATAGAGTCTTACCACTTTTTATTGCTTTCTATTGTCTATATAAATGCCCTTAAAATTTTCCCTTTTATGAGATTAGGAAAAAAAAAAATAAATTGTTATTACAATTTACATATGTCTATTCAAATTTCATTTGTTATATATGTCTGTATATGTAATAAAGATTTCATATATAAATAAGCAGGCACAGTTTACTTTTTAACAGAACAATTTAACATTATTTTCTTAGATGTCTTTGGTTTTTTAATGAAGTTATTGATATGAATTCCAAAGTCTGTATGTAGCCTTATCAAAAACTTCTTTGTCTTTAAACTTTCCAAATGCCTTGAAAGCTTTTATATAGCTAAAAACTTGTTTGATTTAAAGGCTCAGATTCTTATTAGTTGGTCTTATTCATCATGTTGTTGTCTTTAGTTTACAAGTCAATAATTTTGTAAAGGTTTATTTCATTAGTTGGAAAAATACACAAACATAATAATAATGATGATGCAGAAGAAAATGGAAGACTTCAGTGTACTTTGAAACTCTCTCTAATGAAAAATAATTTATTTCTTGACAGATGGCACTGCACTGATGCAGAAATATCAAATAGGCAACCAAATTTGTTTGCCTATAGCACAATTTATTTTATTCCTTCCACATCTCAATGGTCTGGCTTTCAGAGAGCATTAGTTATGTTAATCATTTTATTGAAAAATATTTGAACTTCTACCTTTGGAAGGTTTCTGCCTTACCCAGATTCCAGCTTTCACAGATTTTACTGTATTTTGTCCTTTAGATTATTTTTGTGGTCAGTTTTTCTGGTTGTAATTTTGATATTTGATTTTGAAAAGCACTTAATTCTAACTGATTTAAATAAGTAATTACAGTAGAGAGCCGTTTATCCGAAAGCCAGTTATCCGAAACGTCAGTTAACCAAAAGCATTCTAGTGGGCAAATTTAAATTTTTGTTAATGCTGTGGCGCTGCAATCTTTGGCTATATCTTGGGTTATTCCAATATTTTTTTTGTTGGTGTGTGTGTTTTAGCTGGCAGCACTGGCACTTTTGTGTAGTGTTTTTCTGAGGACTGTGTATGGTGCTGAATCGAACATTTTTGATACTAGATTAACTTCTAAAGTATAATTTTTTTTGTTTTTATATTTTTCAATATATTTATTTTGTTTGTAAAAAATAAAGAAATAATTTTTAACGATACAATAGCCACGATTATTATTTTAAAAAGTTTACGTTAGGCTTNTACAATATTAAGAGTACCCAACAATAATATATAGATTTTAGCATGACTTACAATTTTTCTTTTGTTAATTATTTCAATATGTAAATAAATATTCACAGAAGAATTCCTATCATAATACCACAATACGTGTATAAAGTTAAAACACATTTATAAAATTATAATGTTTAAAAGGTTTAAAAGTATTTTTACTCATATAACAGTGCCTGCAACAGCAAATGATAAATAACATTTTTACTTGGCATATGAATGGACATAAAGGCATATAAATTAAACATTTCAATGATATTTTTACCTTCTTCAGCTGGATTACATATTCTGTTTCAAACTTTACAATATCAAATTATCAATTTCACAATTTAAAATATTGATTTGTAAAATTTTAAAATATAAATAACTGCCATATAAGCCAATATTTATTACATTAGTAATAAAATTATTCTAAAATCTATTAAACACAGTAACAGTATCTAGTGTTGATTTTCATTTTAAGATCTTCAACATCACAATAATATCAAAAATTTCAACAAACTTACTAGACACTGTAATGATACTTTACAACATTATACAATGTGAACATTCATTTCTTATAACTGATGTCAAGTTCTTTCTTAATTATTAACTTGCATATATTGCAAGTTAATAATTAAGAAAGAGTATATTGCATATATTTTCCTTTCATCTTCTTTCTTTTTTAAATTTGGCTATATTTCATATCCTGTTCAGTTTGTTTTAATTGATTATGAATAACATGTATCAGCTAGCTTAATAATTGTATACATTAGGTGGCAAATCTTTTTGAGCCTTTGTAAGGTTGAGGTGACTGGGGTGGAAATATCAAGAGAATTGAAGGATCACAACAACCATATGTAAGAATATTTGAGTCAGGTGTCCATCATTTAAACCATTTAATAACATTATCTTACAAAAGAGCTAATTTTCCATTATTACAATTATTGCAGAGAGAAACCAAATAAAAGACCGAAAGTTCTTTAGGCTGTTTTCTCTTGGTTCCTCGATGTTTCCAAGATCATTGGCCCTGGGGCACCTTGTTCAGCTTCGAACTGATGGTCCTAGAAGTAGGGATGATTCTTGAAGCAAGAGAACGTTTTCAAGAGAGCAAATGTCACTCCAAGGAAGATGACCAGATGTTGACAGACACACAAAGGGATATGAGTGATAAACAATGATTCAAAAATCTTGCTTTCTTGAATCATACATTTTTATAAGTTTTCCCTCAAAGTCATCTTGTGATTGGTCTTTCATTATCACCTGGTGACAATTCAAAACCTGTCAAAGGGCAGGGGAGAGGCCAACTTTGCAACTAAATAAGACTCCTCTCTAACCACATTTTCCTTGACTTTGGTCTTTTCTACACAATTCATCTTTTGTTTTAAATTCTATAGAAAAAACCCATCATTGTTCAAACAAGACCTTCAATTCTTCCTATTTGCTTTCTTTATCAGTTAAAACTTTTAAACTTTTAAGCATGGTAAATCAAATCAACAGAAAGTCATACCAGCTGGGATTTTGTGCAGGCCAACAAGATCCCCACTGTATTGGTCAGGGAACCAGGACACACATTGATGAATATGCTACTGGAACACAAATCAGTATTGATACTGTGATGGTCTGCCATATTTTTGTCCTCTCTTCTGGTTAGACTGTTTTGTCAGACTCTCAGTTTATTGTGTAAACTTGTTTGGACCAGCTCCTTTGTTGGACCAACTCTAGGGTAGACCCTCTACCTTGGAAGGACTAGTCTGATAGGTAAAATAGACAGCCTGGGGATATGAAAAAGGAGAGAACTATCTTTTTGGCTGGAAAGACAGAACATTTTGGATGTGGTTTGTGAAGCTGAAGGAAGGAGTCGTTAAGTAGGCTGGATCTGACAGCCTGAGATCCAGCAAAAAGTATGTTTTGAGATCTGAGCACAGGTTTTCCTGTGCTCAGATCTCAAAACCTTGGAAAATATATCTGGAACAAGAAAGAAATAATTCATAAAGCAAAATTAGCTGTGTACAACACAATTTTTTAACCTAAGTTAACATATGGTTCTGAGAAATAAGGGAATTGACCAAAAATTAGAAACAGCAGGATTGATAGTATTTAGAAAAATTAGTGGTGTTAATACAGTGACAAAATCATATTAAAAATGAAGACATAAGAAAAAAAACTCAAGGTAACTAATATTCAGTTGAGAATAAGTGAAGCTAATCTGAGGTGGTTTGACCATTTAGAAAGAATGGGAGAAGAGCAACTAGCCAAACAGATATTTGAAACTAAAATCAGAAAGAAAAAACCAAAGGAATGTCCATTTCAAATATTATATAACTTTTAAATATAAACTTGTTATGTTATTGCAGAAGGATTATTAACTCAAAAAGTTTTGAAATTCATAATTTTTCATTTTATTAATAAAGCAAGTGATCCTGAACTTGATCAAAAAAATACTTTGGAGTCAACTGATTGAATATTGTTATAAGTAAATAAGATATACTATTTCAAATGCAAATATCAATGAAATGATTATTCATTTAAGGTTTCCATGAATGTTCATAAAACACTTACAGAGGACCTTTGTAGAGTTATTCGTTCTGGTTTAAGGGAATGCAACAAAGGATGGTATAACATATATGAAAATGATTGGCATATTTATGAAAATTCAAAAATGAAAAAGTTTATGATACAAGTTCATTACAGAATGCAGGTAACTAAACATAGCTATTGATATACATAATACAAAATTTATAATATTATATAATACAAAATACATTTAAAAATTACATATATATATATATATATATATATATATATGTATGTAATTTTAAAAAACTCTATATTAAAACTGCCTTTTGAATTTCATGGATATTTTTTCTAGATATTGATAATATATTAATTACACTACTATTAATAATAATTAGTGTATTAATTAATATTAATACACTAATTATTATTAATTTTATGTTTTAATTGATGGTCTATCCAGGGCGATTCTCTTGCAATGAAAACCAAACATCTTTCAATAACTTTTTATTGCTTTATGGTTCTTTATTGGGCCATTATCAACATTGCTTTAAGAAGACCTTATTTTGCAAGATATAAGCAAAGTGCATGTCAATTTTCATAAAGCAATAAAACAGTTTTTGAGGAATGTTTGGGTCTCCTAGCAAGAGAATCACCCCGTTTAAAAACTATTATTATCCATTATAAGCTTTCTGACTACAATCTACTAAGAATAATAAGTAACTATACAAGCATATTTGTATTGCTGTTACAATTTTTTACACAAATCACACACCTTTTTATTTTTTAATTAACACTTAGTGCTTCAGAATCATTTCAATGATACAGTTTGTTATATAAATGTCTACTAGGACAGATCTTATTAATAGGACTTATTATACTGGTGTTTGGTTTCTGCAATTGAGGAAAACTTATTCAGAGAAAACAAACTATCTTTATTGTTCACCTGGTATTTCACCTGTACATACTTTGTGTGTATTGGACCTCAAGGTCCGATACACACATAAAGTCCTTCAGGTTCCTCTTTAGCAGGTTTACAAAAACACAGTGTTAAAATAAAATTTATAAAAATTTATAACAATACAATATTAAGAGTACCCAACAATAATATATAGATTTTAGCATGACTTACAATTTTTCTTTTGTTAATTATTTCAATATGTAAATAAATATTCACAGAAGAATTCCTATCATAATACCACAATACGTGTATAAAGTTAAAACACATTTATAAAATTATAATGTTTAAAAGGTTTAAAAGTATTTTTACTCATATAACAGTGCCTGCAACAGCAAATGATAAATAACATTTTTACTTGGCATATGAATGGACATAAAGGCATATAAATTAAACATTTCAATGATATTTTTACCTTCTTCAGCTGGATTACATATTCTGTTTCAAACTTTACAATATCAAATTATCAATTTCACAATTTAAAATATTGATTTGTAAAATTTTAAAATATAAATAACTGCCATATAAGCCAATATTTATTACATTAGTAATAAAATTATTCTAAAATCTATTAAACACAGTAACAGTATCTAGTGTTGATTTTCATTTTAAGATCTTCAACATCACAATAATATCAAAAATTTCAACAAACTTACTAGACACTGTAATGATACTTTACAACATTATACAATGTGAACATTCATTTCTTATAACTGATGTCAAGTTCTTTCTTAATTATTAACTTGCATATATTGCAAGTTAATAATTAAGAAAGAGTATATTGCATATATTTTCCTTTCATCTTCTTTCTTTTTTAAATTTGGCTATATTTCATATCCTGTTCAGTTTGTTTTAATTGATTATGAATAACATGTATCAGCTAGCTTAATAATTGTATACATTAGGTGGCAAATCTTTTTGAGCCTTTGTAAGGTTGAGGTGACTGGGGTGGAAATATCAAGAGAATTGAAGGATCACAACAACCATATGTAAGAATATTTGAGTCAGGTGTCCATCATTTAAACCATTTAATAACATTATCTTACAAAAGAGCTAATTTTCCATTATTACAATTATTGCAGAGAGAAACCAAATAAAAGACCGAAAGTTCTTTAGGCTGTTTTCTCTTGGTTCCTCGATGTTTCCAAGATCATTGGCCCTGGGGCACCTTGTTCAGCTTCGAACTGATGGTCCTAGAAGTAGGGATGATTCTTGAAGCAAGAGAACGTTTTCAAGAGAGCAAATGTCACTCCAAGGAAGATGACCAGATGTTGACAGACACACAAAGGGATATGAGTGATAAACAATGATTCAAAAATCTTGCTTTCTTGAATCATACATTTTTATAAGTTTTCCCTCAAAGTCATCTTGTGATTGGTCTTTCATTATCACCTGGTGACAATTCAAAACCTGTCAAAGGGCAGGGGAGAGGCCAACTTTGCAACTAAATAAGACTCCTCTCTAACCACATTTTCCTTGACTTTGGTCTTTTCTACACAATTCATCTTTTGTTTTAAATTCTATAGAAAAAACCCATCATTGTTCAAACAAGACCTTCAATTCTTCCTATTTGCTTTCTTTATCAGTTAAAACTTTTAAACTTTTAAGCATGGTAAATCAAATCAACAGAAAGTCATACCAGCTGGGATTTTGTGCAGGCCAACAAGATCCCCACTGTATTGGTCAGGGAACCAGGACACACATTGATGAATATGCTACTGGAACACAAATCAGTATTGATACTGTGATGGTCTGCCATATTTTTGTCCTCTCTTCTGGTTAGACTGTTTTGTCAGACTCTCAGTTTATTGTGTAAACTTGTTTGGACCAGCTCCTTTGTTGGACCAACTCTAGGGTAGACCCTCTATCTTGGAAGGACTAGTCTGATAGGTAAAATAGACAGCCTGGGGATATGAAAAAGGAGAGAACTATCTTTTTGGCTGGAAAGACAGAACATTTTGGATGTGGTTTGTGAAGCTGAAGGAAGGAGTCGTTAAGTAGGCTGGATCTGACAGCCTGAGATCCAGCAAAAAGTATGTTTTGAGATCTGAGCACAGGTTTTCCTGTGCTCAGATCTCAAAACCTTGGAAAATATATCTGGAACAAGAAAGAAATAATTCATAAAGCAAAATTAGCTGTGTACAACACAATTTTTTAACCTAAGTTAACATATGGTTCTGAGAAATAAGGGTGAGAAATAAGGGAATTGACCAAAAATTAGAAACAGCAGGATTGATAGTATTTAGAAAAATTAGTGGTGTTAATACAGTGACAAAATCATATTAAAAATGAAGACATAAGAAAAAAAACTCAAGGTAACTAATATTCAGTTGAGAATAAGTGAAGCTAATCTGAGGTGGTTTGACCATTTAGAAAGAATGGGAGAAGAGCAACTAGCCAAACAGATATTTGAAACTAAAATCAGAAAGAAAAAACCAAAGGAATGTCCTAGATGAACATGGATTGATAGTGTTAAGCAGACCTTAGAGGAAAGGAATTTAACTTTTCTCCAGACTAAAAACTTGTCTGTCAATAGGAGAGTTTGGAGGAAAGTAGTAGATGGTAGTATAAAAGTTTGATTTTTCACTATGTTGACCTGTATCAACTCTTGTTATCAGCAGGAATGTATGATGATGATGATGATGATGATAATTATTACAATATTATTAGTTAAATTGTACCATAAAAATGTTTTCACAGTTACTTACATATAATATCAGTTAAACCACTTTTGGATTATATAGCAACAATTAGTTAATTTTTTATATCTAATAAATATAAAATATATAATAAATATATCTCAGCATATAAGGTGTTAAGTGTTTTTAGTAAAGGTTTAAAAGAAGCTGAGTTGAGTTTCAATTTATTGTTAATTTTTTATTAATTAAGTAAATTTACCATTTTTTGCTACTAGATAACTATTTTAATTCAGTGTTGTCTGTTTTTTTGTATTTATATTATGCCACCATATATCTATTTCTCTATCAAAATTATCATTTATTCTGTTATTTGTTTTTTTTTTTAAATATAAAAATATTTTAAAAGTTGCCTTTTATAAGTATTTTGTTTCTTTTGCAGTATTTTAAGATTATTTAATTTAATTTCAAAATTATCTAAATTACCAATGTCTGGCAACAGCAGAATTATTATAATTATATTTGATGGCACAGATATGTTTGCTAACTCTTACTTTTAATTTTTGATTTGTTTCACTCATGTATATGCTTGGATTTATGCAACTATATTCAAATTCATATACTACACCTACTTTATCTAATGTATTTTAATTGACAGTTTTATTACTATTGTTAATATGTTTTGTTAAAGTATTTTGCAAATATAAATCTGGAGCACTAAGTGTTAATTAAAAAATGTAAAGTTGTGTGATTTGTGTAAAATAATTGTAACAACAATGCAAATACTCTTGTTTAGTTATATACATGTATAATTATTATTAATATTGTAAATAACTAAAATTGTTCTTTACAATATTAATAATAATTAATCAGCATCGTTAATAATATTTTCCAATAATGTTTAAGTTTAACTTTGAATTCAGTTTTAATTTATATATTGCCAAAAAATTACTAGCAATTAATGTGATGAAAATTGTGTTTCAATCTCAACAAACATTCAAAAAATAACAACTTTTGAGTAGTTATCTTTCATTTGAAGAATTTTCATGTTGTTTTACTACATTTTTTTAAAAAAATGTAGTAAAACAATGTAAAAAAATGTAATAAAATTTTATAATTTTTACAACTTTTTTATATATCTCATACCAATATAACAGTGTATTGATAAACATAACATAACAGTGTAAATATTCCTAATACAGTTTGTTTTACAAACTGATTCTAATATTTTTCTCATTTTTGTTATGTATTTTTTGTGTCACTTTGCATTGTTTGCTTTTAAATATATATATATATATATAGAGAGAGAGAGAGAGTTTCTGAAATAATGGGCCAAACTTTGGGGATGATTTCAGACAGGAAAATAAAGAAAAAGGCATATAAACATAAGAGCATGATCAGTTATGGAAATGGCCGTTTTCAAGAAACAAACTTTTTATGACAGTGTCAGGTACAAGACATTTTCATACATAACTCTTCATTAAAGTGATTTTAATCCAGCTCATTTTAATCAATATGTGTATATTGTACTAAACCATAAGTTACTTATTTACACAGATAGGCAGAGCAGGTCTGGTGTCATGGCTTCCATGTTTTCTGGTCTGAATCCCTTGGAGTCACCTGAAGGCACTAGTGTTTGCTGCTTCTGTTGGCAATGTGGATATGATGCTGCAACACATTGTTGACACTTTCACCATCATTTGTAGAAAACCTGGAATCTTTGAAAGAGTGCAGCAGTCCATGTTCTGACAATTCTACATATGCATAGGTGCACATGGAGAGTATTTTGAACATTTTTTATGAAGAAAGCTATGTATTGTGAAAGTTATGTAAGAGAGTATGTAATAAAATTTGTTTTACATTTGACACTGACATGAGGTCTGATGATTTCTTGAAAAACACCCATTTTCAGATTTTTATTTATTTTCCTGTGAGGAATCATCCCCCAAAGTTTGTCCCACTATTTCAGAAACATATGGTAGATATTCTCTAACATTGTGATTGATGGAATCTCACAATATATCAACCTTACAAGATATTTTTGAATATCTCATTATATATATTATGTATATTTATTTATTTATAATAAAAATTAAAATAGTGTTTTGTAATATTAAAAATTGAATAGAACATTATAAATTTTATTATTAAATTCAATAGGATTCTCTTCGATTTATGGTAGAAAAAGGACTCAGTTCATTTTCACAATTAATTGTAGAGCTTTGTAAACCAGCAATGGATTTAAATGATGAATATATTTGGGAAAATGACCTTTCAAGTAGTATATTTAAGTGAGTTTTATTAACTTTAAGTAATATTAAACAAATGCCATATATGCAAAAAATTAGATTTAAATTATGAATAGCATTAATAAATATATGAAAAACTGTAGAATATAGTAAAAAGTTTATTTAATATAATTTATACAGTAATATTTTAAAAAGAAATTAATAATACTTATTTTTCTTGAAATTATGCAGTGATTACTTAAAAACAAAAATTGTTATACTCAGTTTTTGTAAATATTGATTTCTGTAAAATGTATCTAAACTGAGAGAACAGTACTTTTTATATCTTAATTTTATGTATTTTAGAAAGAAATCATAAATGAAATTAGAACTTGAAGATAATCCATATTAAGCAAAAACTCTATTACTGTTCCAGTAATCTTTATAACATAAAGGTTTATAATAATAGTTAAGATTAACTCAAAAATTTGATTCATTAAAAAATATTGGTCTGGAATTAATAAAAAAAAATTATTAATTCATCATCTGTGTTATTGTTCTTATGGAGCAGATACATAAAAACAATTTTTCTACAGAATATTTTATATTAAAAAATTCTTATAGTTTTTCAAAAAGCTTATTGTATCTTGAACCAAAGAAACATCAAATAATGTAATAAATTTATTGCTTTTTATGAATTTTGGCAATTCAAATTATGATTATATTTCCTTAATAACAACTATCTGTTATAGTCCTATTTTTATAAACTTATTTTTTATTGCATAAAAAATTTAATTAAATAAATTAACTATTTAAATTTCTAAATTTCATTTAAAATATACAAACTAATTACACCATACTTATTTAAAATTTATAGCAAAGCTATAATTTCTATTGTTTTTTATTAATTTAATTATATTACTTTTTTAATGATGAAAAAGATATATTATTGCATTTTATGTTCATTAAAAAAATAAATGAATTTTATTATGAAATAGATAAAAATTGTAAAAAGATAATGTTTAAACCAATGTTTCCCAACCTTTTTTGTGCTATGCCCCACCTAAGCCTTTCTAAAATTCTTATGCCCCCCTAACATATACGGTGGCTATACAGTTAACTTAAACTCTGGATACCAACCTGCCACTTCCTCCCTCACCACACGACTGTGCATGTCAGAAAGGACCCACTCCGTCAGAATTGACACTCGATCCCAACAAATAGAATGCACTCTGTCCAGGGAATTCCAGTCGACCTGAAAAAGAACAAAGAGATTGCTTGAAAACATTTGTCAACAGCGATATACAGTATATACACATCATGCACTGGTTGCAGGTTCTGGATAGTGTAGTGTAGATTTAACCCCGGTGCTGAGAGTAGAATAGTTTCTGTATTCATTAATTTTACTTTTCTGTTAACATAAACTTTGGTTTAAAAGTTTGTATTAATAGTTTATTTCATTTTTTATTGTTCATACAAACTATATGTGACTTCCTTTATATCATGGTGGAATGATCTCACAGAACTTTCATAATTTCTATTTTTTTTAATATTATGTTCTTATAATTTTTCTTTAAATACTGTACATATTTTATTTAAACTTTACAAAAAATAGAAGAAACATTAATATATTTTATTTTTATACATTTGATGTTAAATTTGTCAGGCATTGAAGTTGTTTTTAACTGTCCTTTGAATAGTTTACAATTGAAATATGGCTAAAGTGAAATTAATGTAAAAGTTTTCAGAATTGATAATTTAGTTTTTATTATGATTTTTTATGATTAATTATTTAAAATAAATATTTAATCTCTAAATATTTATTCACAGATGAAATAAAGCAAAGCATTAATATTTTTAAAATCTTCAATAAGTTAATCAAATGATATTTAATTTTTATTTAACTTTAAGATTTCATTTATATTTAATTCTTGTTTCTAGAATAAAATGTTTTAAATAATTTTACTACTTTATTGTTTAGATCAGGGGTCGCCAAAGTGGTCGATATTGACCCCCAGGGGTCAATNCGTAAAAAAGACCATAATTTATAAAATTATATAATTTTGGTATTTGTAAACAGAGTTCCTTAATGATATACATTATCAGTTTTACAATCTTCATATATTTACTATTACATGGTTACATATATAGTTTATTATAAAGTAGTAAAAAAACATTTTATTGAAAATTGTTAAAGTTACCATTTTAAAACCGTTACTAACTTCTTCTTTTCAAAATATCACATTAATACAAGTTCAAGTTTCGACTTTTTGAGGTTGTTCGTCGATATATTTGGAAAAATTGATAATACGCTCACGTCGCTAGTGTCTTGACAGTAGCCTGCATTGAATTGTAGTAAAAAATTCTAAACAAATCTTCAAAAAGTCAATGAAACTAACGCCAAACACCTTAAAATTATACAACGCTTTAAGTAATTTTTAATTTTCGGATTTGTTTAATTAAGACAATTATATAAATTGTTTATTGAAGCATATCATTAGTAAAATATATTTCTAATGTTTTCAGTTTAAACATCTATTTTTCAGATAATTTGATCTCTGAATTATAACTAATTTAATAAAACAGTGATTCCTGAAGTGTTTGTTAACATTTTGCATCTATATCTATCATATCTATGGATTTGTTTTGTGTAAAGAATTACAAAGAAATATAAGAAACAAGTCATAAATATTATAAATAGCAAGATTTATGATCATACATTTATGTTATACTAATTGCTTTTAAAAAATTTGTTGTGATTTAAATCATAACACTAGTGAATATAAAATCATGTAAACCTGCTCCAGTTTTCATGAATTTATATAAAAACTGTGATGATTGAAAATGATTTGCTTTCTACTTTAATGAAAAATCAGTAAATTAATATTATATTAACATATATTACTTCATATTTGTTTCAGAATAAGCATAATATTGAATTACTGAAATTTTATGCATATATGTAGTAAATTCTAAATTTTTTTTTAAGTAGTCATATATTACTTAATCATAAATGTTGCTTAAACCTCTTTTTGTCCTTTAAGAAAATAATTCTCACAATCATAATGCAAGGAATATATCTATCAAAACATAGATTACTGAAACTTATCTCTGTATAATTGTTCATTCACTTATTATCTCATTAGTATTTCATATGTTTTCATTTTGTGAGTTTCTGAGGCCTTCTGTTTCTAAGTTTAAAAAATTCTTTTATGCTATCAATATTATCAATTATTTAAATCTCATTTTGGAAATCTGAAATGTAAAATTTGTGAATAGGAGACATATTCACAAATTTTGTATATACTGTATATGTAAAATGATTTGTAAATTTATTTTCATTTTTTGATGGTTTAATATACTTAGATTGTAATGAAAATTACACAGAATTGTGAATTATTTTCCATTTGATAGTTTTTGATGAAAATATTAATTAATTTCGTTATTTTCTCTAATAATAAATACATTTTATTTAATTAGATTAATATTTAAACTTACTTGTATATAATACCATATTTCTTTCATAATTTACCATATCTTTGTTATTTATGTATGTTTTCCCCAAGATAAGGATGAATTTCTCCTAAATCAATAAAGATTGATCAGGCTTATACTATAGTTAAAATTAACAATAATTATTAATATATGAATCATTGAAGTGATCCAGAATAAAATTTATTGGTGTTATAAGAAAATAAATTATATTTTTTCTCATATATTTTAACATTATTAGATAACTTTTTTAACTTATTTTAAGAACCAAAATTTAAAATTTATATTTTATTTAAAATCAATTAAATTATTAAAAATCAACTTTTAAATTAAATGTATTTTAGAGTGTATTTGAAGAATTATTGTGGGGTGAAATACCAATGCTAAATTGTATTGGAGAATTTGAAAAATATATAGAAGAGTGGAAAAAATTTATGATAAAAGCTCTGGAAAAATCATTTATACCTTTAAATGCCTATTCTGAAAATTTTAAGAAGTATTTGAAAATGCATAATGTAACTGTGTCAGAAATTATAAAGTAAGAAATATGTAATTAAGTAAAACAAAAAATAAATCTTTAATGAGTAATAATTGTAGAGATGTGAGAGTTTTAGAAAAATTATTTTAAATGAAATTCTTTTTAAATTATATATTTTAAGACTATGATGATAATGAGATAATGAATTTTTCAAAATATATTTGATAATTTGCTTTTATATTTAATTTTAAATACATACAAATTTTCTTTTGTTATAAATATTCTTTAATAAAAATTCCAAATTTAATTTATAAAATAAAATAATATTTTTATAGAAAGAAACTTTGGAACAACTTCAAATTGTTTCTATTTTAGATTTTTTTTAATTGCCAGTAGCTATTCAGCAGTTTTTAGTTTAATAAGAAACTGCTTTGAAAACAATTTATTTTTAATTTTTCCTCATTCTTCACTTTAAAATGATAATATTCTGAATTGTTATATACCGTGTTTCCCCGAAAATAAGACATCCACAGAAAATAAGACCTAGCACATATTTTGATGAATTGCGAAATATAAGACCTCCCCTGAAAGTAAGACCTAGCGAAGTTATTTTTAGTCGCAACGGTCATCGACAGATGGTTGAAAGTGGCGGTTGGCTTTTTGAAAGTACAGTCACTGATTGGCCAGCAGACAATTACGCCACACGGCATGATTTGCATAAGACTATGGCTTGGTAATCACAGATTTGCATAACGTTATGGCTGGTGATGGCTAATTGGTCGGCTGGAAATCATGCCAACATTACATTTGCATAGTGCTACGATTCAGTAATCACTAATTGGTCATCGAGTCCGATGTTGACGCTATGAAAAGGTGACAGTTCGACACACCAGATATACGTCACTCTTGTCTAAGTTCGACTTGGAAATGTTTTTGTTCAATAATAAATATGAATTCTTCTTCCTGGAAAAAATAAGACATTCCCTGAAAATAAGACCTAGCGCATTTTTCAGAGCAAAAATTAATATAAGACACTGTCTTATTTTCGGGGAAACACGGTGTTTAAAATTTTATAAACTAAGTATTCTATTGAACAACTGTAAATATGATTTTAAATTATTTGTAGGACTAATGACAAATACACACTTAAAAGAAATTATATAATGAATAGCATACTTTCTTCTGATATCTACTGTTGAGTTTAATTCTGCAAACCAAAGCTTGCAATTTACTTATTCTTTGACTGTTGCCATTTATTAATAGAATTTGTAAATAATAAAAAATAAATTAGTTCTACATTAATAAAATTATTATCTAAAAAGTTACAAAAGCTAGGCTCTCAAATATTATTTACAGCATAGTTTTAACATTATAGGTCTTTAGTTATTGAACTATAAGACTGCACATAGACTTTAGGACCACCTTGTAGAATATACTCCATAATGCTATCTACATGCATAATAAACTTATTTTACATAATTTATTACTATGATCATTTAGTGTGCCACAATATTTTATGAATAGTTTTTATATAGTATATATCAAGCATTCAACGAATAGTAATTTGAAAGAATACTGAGTATTAAACTTCTATCTAGTATTGAAGCTATTTCAATTAAACTATAGATATTTGCAATTATTTATAATTGATTTTATATATTCCAATCAAATGTTTAAATTTAAAATATTATTAATTTTACATTTTATTAGTGTATAGTTTAGACAATGAAATTGACAAAATAAACTTTGCTTTTCTTGTTTTACATTATTAGTATATAATTGATTAATGTTGCTCAATATTCACACTTCAATAATCTGACATTTAATGAACTGTATTTTTTCATATTTTGTAAATTTAATGAGAATTATTTATAAGTGTATCTTAAAACTTTTTTAAGTTCCTTACTACTATATAGTATTTTATTAATTACAAAGTCTGCTTTTAATTATAAAGCTGACAATTACATTCAATTTCATTTAAGAAAGTATTAAATGTAAACAAACTGTTTTTTTTTTTTAATATCTTTTCTCTCTTCATGCATCAGTTGCTGCAGATTTTGAGGAAAGGACAATATTACAAAACTATTTTTATAAAAATAATTTTTATAATATAATTAAGAACATAGAATATTCAAAATAAAATTTATGTTATATTTAAGTATCTTTATATTGATAAATGAAAATTTTACTTTAACTTATTTACAACCTAAATATAACAAAATATAAGTATATAAAATTACTTTAATGATAATAATAATCCTATTTTAATCAGAACCATTGCTTTTTAAATGTTTCAATATGGAAATATTGAGAAAACTATGAAAGCAGAAAAATTAAGAATTCTTAGTCTTTTTCATTTCTGCTTGAAACAAGCAATATTTTTAATAATCTGTTTTTAATCAATATATTTTTTTTTTCATAAATTTAATTTTTGTAAATAATACAACTTCAAAATCATCCTATATTTCAAGATGATAATTTTTCCCTAAGGTTAGCTTATTATAATTATAATCACCATTACTAAAAATTTTAATTCCAAAAAAACTATTTTTGTTTTGAATGATTTGATCTATAGTTTCAAAGAATAGTTCATTTTAATCAATCTACTTGAAAAATATGGATTCTACCAAAAAATCATTACTCCAAAATTGTTAGATTTTGAGGATCACAAGATGGTAGTATCAATACTTGATTGCTTGCTGTTCTTTCAATTGGGGTTTGTTCCTTGGAAACAAACATAAAATTGTTCTTGAGAACTTATCACACAGGAACACTCCTTTTGATGAAAAAAATGGATTTTTATTTTCTGTTTTTTACAAAGGATATGCATTTTGGCCATATGCCCCTCTTCAGTCCTTATTACATATAATGATAAAACTAAAAATATAACTAATGGTAACTACTGGAATAACTAATTGTTAAAAATGGGGTAAAACAAGTAAAACTGTAAAATAAAAATAAAATTTTTGTTAAAATGTAGAAAAAATTGAACAATAAAAGGAGTAAAAATGTTAAAACCAATAAAAACTGGTTAAAAGATCTTTATTGGTTTTAATGTTTTTATGTTTTTACTTTTAAAGCATTTTTCTTCCTTTTTTTCTTCCTTCACAGATATCCATAGAAACATACATGTGTATGCTGCGGCATCCATGTAAAACTTCAAATCCTTTTAACTTCTAATAAGTAATCTTTCTGAAAAATGTTTCATATGAACGTTTGCTTATTCTTTATATAGAATCATAATATGCAATGAAAAGTAGAAGTTTCTTTTAAGAAAGGGAAATTGACTTCATTTTTACTGATTCTAGCACTATATGACAAAACATGCCTCTATAGTTTTATGATGTCAAAATTTTATAATTTTATAATATATAGAAAAAGACAAAATATAGTCATAGTTAAAAATTTTTAAAAATATAGAATTTCTGCAGCAGAAAATTATTTTAAAATATAAATTAGAAATTAATAGTTTTTTGGTCTTTCTTCTGTAATTAACATGATGCTACAATAAAATTCTTTATTTTAATGTTTCAATGAAGAAATATTATCTTCTATTAATTTGTATTTTGAATTATTATAATTGGTTTGCAAAAATCTTTTCAGTTTATGAGTATTTTTTTATATTTAACAATATATTTTAAATATTGAATTAATTATAGAAAAAATATTATTATTTAGAGAATATGAATTGAAAGAAGTAAGCTTCAAAGAAATTGGAAATGAAATTTTATCTTATTATCAAGAAATGAAAAATTTAAATGAAACTATTCCAAACAGAATAATAATTTGTGCTTTTATTATAAATCTTGAAACAGTGAAATTAAAATTAATAAGTAAATGTAAAGAAATTGCATTGAGTCTTACCTCTTTGCTAGCAAAGAAGCTTTCTTGTGAACTTTGTAAAGTGAGTAATATTANTAATTAACATTTTAATAGGTTATATATAAAAGTAGTTTAAATAATGATTTGTATGAATATAAAATATATTAATCAGTAAATGAAGAAAATTCTTAATAAATCATGTTTTAATGAAGATAATGTAAGCATTTTCAATAATACCAGCATTATAATACTCATAAAGAGTTTATAAATGAAATTCTTTAGTGTTTTATTATATTTATGTTAATTTTAAATAAATAAATTTTTTTGTTTCTTATATATTATTCTTACTAAACATTGTTTTTGTTTTTAACATTAAATTGAATAAAATGAGCATTTTTGTTGATGATCAAATTTTGTTGATGTTTGATTAACATATACTGCATTATTTCATAAATCATAGTTTTTATTCTTTGTTAATTTTTGGTTTTAATTGTAATTCATTGTTGGTGCTATTGTTAATTGACGGGTGGATATCTTTTGTCGGTAGACAGTTTATGTATAAAATAAATAAGTAATGTCTACTTGGACCTTGTTTATTAATAGGACTTATTATATTGGTGAAGTTTCTGATAAATAAAGAAATATCTTTGTTTTGACTTTTGACTAAGATTCTCTCTCGTTGCTAATCAGAAACTTCACCAGTATAATAAGTTCTATTAATAAACAAGGTCCAGGTAGACAATATATATACACAGAAATGTAAAACAATAAGGGCAAAGAGGTAAAAAGAATTAAATAAATAAATAAATTTATTTATTTAATGAAGATAAAACACAGAAATTAAAAAGATAGAATTAATTTAGGTAATTAAATAAAGTGGAAAAATGAACTTGCCAGTTTTAAATAATTTTGAATAAAAATTAATTACTAAATACATTAAAGTTAATTACTAAATATTCCATATATGTAAATGTTAGAATTTTGTATTTATTTAACTGTTTTAAATAGTAATAGTTTGTTTTTGTTTGAAAATATTGGAATATTTATACCTGCTTAAAAATTTTTTTAGATGGGATACAACTACTTATCCATATAAATTACATTTATTAGTTACTAAAACTCATGAACAGTTTATCACAGAAGAAAAACTACTTGTTTTATTGCATAAAGATCAGAAAGTTTTGGAAGAAAACTTTGAGCTTTTATCTGTAAGTTTTTTATATTAAAGAAATACCATAAAAGTTTTGGGTTTAAACAAAATATTTTAGATGAATAATTTCAATTTTGTAGTTTATTTATGTAATGTATTTTATGTAGAAAAGTAAATCTTAATTTTAAGTTTTTTATTTTTGTTTTTAAAATTCATTTTTTTTGTATAAATTTTCAAATCATTACTGAAAAAATGAATATAAAACATAAATTGTTGAATATATCCTTTAGATAATTAACAAACAATTAATTTAAAAAGTACACAATTATTTTTAAAATAAATAAATAAAATATATTATTTATTAATGAGTAAATTTTTTCATTAAAATTTAGAATTATAGTCAAATTATATTAATAATTAAGAATATGAATAAATATAATTATTTACTAATTAAAATTTTAATTATTATGTAGATGCAAGTAGCTTCTTTACCTGAATTTATTGATATTAATAAAACAAATCAAATAACAAATGATCTTAGTCAGATGAATCAAGCAATTAAAGAATGTCACGAAAAAGCTCAATTATATAATAACAGAGAATTTTTGTTCCATCTACCAAGAACAGATTATTCAAAAATACGTCAATTACAGAGAGAGTTTGATCCATACCATAAACTATGGTTATCAGTTTTGGAATGGCAAAAGGTTAATTTGATAAAATTGATTTTTAAAATTCATATACCAGTATATTATATAAATATTTTTTAAAATCATTGGATCAATATGAGACATTTTTGGTATTATAGTAGATGTGTTATTTGTTCTAACGATTACTTTTTTAATATTTTCAGTTGTATGATAAATGGATGCATAACAACATAGAGGATGTAGATGCTGAAACTATAGAAAAAACAGTAATGGAAATTTCTAGAGTTATGCAGCATTCTTGTAAAATATTTGGCAATATTCCTGGTAATGTTTGTTATAATTTAAATGTTTTAATTCATAAAGCTTCTAATCTATAATTGAAAAATAAGTTTATTATTTCTAGTTTTTTCAGGCCAAAAAGTTTTAGTTTTGTTGTTTTAAAGAAAAAAATTCAATTGCATTTGACCTTTTTTAGAGTAGATTTTTGGGAATATTTATTTTTATGAGGATGCACTATTTTTATGTGAATTGAAAAAAGTCATAGAATTTATTTCAACATCGGATACGTTAAACTATTTTTTCGTACATAAATCGGTTATTCGAAATATCAGTTATACGAACAACCCCAGTCCCCAATTGATTCGGAAAATCGACGCTCTACTGTATTTCTTTAATTATATTGTTAAATCATCAATAAAGATAAATTTTTCATGATCTTCAGAAAAGGAATTCAGTCTCTGTCAATTGAACTAATCCAACTTGATAGTTGCCAGTGAATATTTATATGATAGTCACATTGAAAATGTTTAGCTTTTTTGTGTCATATTTTAAGTATCCAATAAATATTCTGGAATCAATAACATAGTTTGAATTTATCAAACTATGTCATTGATTCACATTATGTCACATTATAGTTTTTTTTTATATTTTTGATAATTTGATAATATAATTTAAAGTTTTAGGTTTGTCCTATGTTTTGAATTGTTTGAATTATTTTCTTAAATCAATTATTAAATTCTAAATTTGATAAATTTCTATGTTTATAATAAAAATTACAGATATATGAAAAATTTAATAATATTGAAGTTAAATTATGTTATATTCCTGAAAATATTGAAGATATGATTCAAATGAAAGAATGGATAAAAAATGTTCCCTTTGAGATTGATTCTCTTAAGGAAGAAGCAGAAGTATTTTATTTAGAATATGATATTTTGGATGAATTTTTATTTAATTTATCTGATGATGACTTCCAACAAAAGTAAGATTTTAGGAAAATAAAATTTCTTAAATTCTCTCTTAACTACTAATAATTTAATTATGTGTATTTTTTATTTATTTAACTATAGTACTAATGTTTCATTTATGGATATAAATTTAATATTAATTTCAATAAACTATAATAATCATTTTTTAAACCTTATAATAAGTTTCTAATTTATAATTAACATTTTAATAGGTTATATATAAAAGTAGTTTAAATAATGATTTGTATGAATATAAAATATATTAATCAGTAAAATGAAGAAAATTCTTAATAAATCATGTTTTAATGAAGATAATGTAAGCATTTTCAATAATACCAGCATTATAATACTCATAAAGAGTTTATAAATGAAATTCTTTAGTGTTTTATTATATTTATGTTAATTTTAAATAAATAAATTTTTTTGTTTCTTATATATTATTCTTACTAAACATTGTTTTTGTTTTTAACATTAAATTGAATAAAATGAGCATTTTTGTTGATGATCAAATTTTGTTGATGTTTGATTAACATATACTGCATTATTTCATAAATCATAGTTTTTATTCTTTGTTAATTTTTGGTTTTAATTGTAATTCATTGTTGGTGCTATTGTTAATTGACGGGTGGATATCTTTTGTCGGTAGACAGTTTATGTATAAAATAAATAAGTAATGTCTACTTGGACCTTGTTTATTAATAGGACTTATTATATTGGTGAAGTTTCTGATAAATAAAGAAATATCTTTGTTTTGACTTTTGACTAAGATTCTCTCTCGTTGCTAATCAGAAACTTCACCAGTATAATAAGTTCTATTAATAAACAAGGTCCAGGTAGACAATATATATACACAGAAATGTAAAACAATAAGGGCAAAGAGGTAAAAAGAATTAAATAAATAAATAAATTTATTTATTTAATGAAGATAAAACACAGAAATTAAAAAGATAGAATTAATTTAGGTAATTAAATAAAGTGGAAAAATGAACTTGCCAGTTTTAAATAATTTTGAATAAAAATTAATTACTAAATACATTAAAGTTAATTACTAAATATTCCATATATGTAAATGTTAGAATTTTGTATTTATTTAACTGTTTTAAATAGTAATAGTTTGTTTTTGTTTGAAAATATTGGAATATTTATACCTGCTTAAAAATTTTTTTAGATGGGATACAACTACTTATCCATATAAATTACATTTATTAGTTACTAAAACTCATGAACAGTTTATCACAGAAGAAAAACTACTTGTTTTATTGCATAAAGATCAGAAAGTTTTGGAAGAAAACTTTGAGCTTTTATCTGTAAGTTTTTTATATTAAAGAAATACCATAAAAGTTTTGGGTTTAAACAAAATATTTTAGATGAATAATTTCAATTTTGTAGTTTATTTATGTAAATTTGATAATATAATTTAAAGTTTTAGGTTTGTCCTATGTTTTGAATTGTTTGAATTATTTTCTTAAATCAATTATTAAATTCTAAATTTGATAAATTTCTATGTTTATAATAAAAATTACAGATATATGAAAAATTTAATAATATTGAAGTTAAATTATGTTATATTCCTGAAAATATTGAAGATATGATTCAAATGAAAGAATGGATAAAAAATGTTCCCTTTGAGATTGATTCTCTTAAGGAAGAAGCAGAAGTATTTTATTTAGAATATGATATTTTGGATGAATTTTTATTTAATTTATCTGATGATGACTTCCAACAAAAGTAAGATTTTAGGAAAATAAAATTTCTTAAATTCTCTCTTAACTACTAATAATTTAATTATGTGTATTTTTTATTTATTTAACTATAGTACTAATGTTTCATTTATGGATATAAATTTAATATTAATTTCAATAAACTATAATAATCATTTTTTAAACCTTATAATAAGTTTCTAATTTATAATTAACATTTTAATAGGTTATATATAAAAGTAGTTTAAATAATGATTTGTATGAATATAAAATATATTAATCAGTAAAATGAAGAAAATTCTTAATAAATCATGTTTTAATGAAGATAATGTAAGCATTTTCAATAATACCAGCATTATAATACTCATAAAGAGTTTATAAATGAAATTCTTTAGTGTTTTATTATATTTATGTTAATTTTAAATAAATAAATTTTTTTGTTTCTTATATATTATTCTTACTAAACATTGTTTTTGTTTTTAACATTAAATTGAATAAAATGAGCATTTTTGTTGATGATCAAATTTTGTTGATGTTTGATTAACATATACTGCATTATTTCATAAATCATAGTTTTTATTCTTTGTTAATTTTTGGTTTTAATTGTAATTCATTGTTGGTGCTATTGTTAATTGACGGGTGGATATCTTTTGTCGGTAGACAGTTTATGTATAAAATAAATAAGTAATGTCTACTTGGACCTTGTTTATTAATAGGACTTATTATATTGGTGAAGTTTCTGATAAATAAAGAAATATCTTTGTTTTGACTTTTGACTAAGATTCTCTCTCGTTGCTAATCAGAAACTTCACCAGTATAATAAGTTCTATTAATAAACAAGGTCCAGGTAGACAATATATATACACAGAAATGTAAAACAATAAGGGCAAAGAGGTAAAAAGAATTAAATAAATAAATAAATTTATTTATTTAATGAAGATAAAACACAGAAATTAAAAAGATAGAATTAATTTAGGTAATTAAATAAAGTGGAAAAATGAACTTGCCAGTTTTAAATAATTTTGAATAAAAATTAATTACTAAATACATTAAAGTTAATTACTAAATATTCCATATATGTAAATGNCAGACATATATTGGTTTTTCATAATAGTATATTGGCTATTTATATATATTTTAGCTTTTTCTTTGAATTTAAAAAATCTGGTCTCTTTTAACATTATAGTGGTTATTTCAATTTCCTGTATTGCCTATTCAACTATTGTTTAATTTTCTTGTTAGTATGTCAAGCAATGTAATGCTCATCTGAATATAAGTTTTTAAAAAATTAAAATATTATCACCAGAATATTTATGCATATAACTGCATTTGTAATTTCAGGTTTAAGCATTAGTTGTTGTTCATCGTTATGTTCACATATATTATCATATCTTTTTAAAAGTTTGCTTACTAAAATTTCTGTGAAGTGTGCTATTATGAGAATATATGAACATAACAATGAAAGAAAGCTAATTTGATGAATTAGGAACAAATATTGTTTACCAATAAGAAAAGTTAATGCAGATGGACCTTGTTAACATAAATAGTCACAGTGATCAGAAAATTGTTCATGTTAAAAGTAGTTTGTGTTACAAGTTACATTGTCATCTGCATAAACATTTAACTGTTATTTTGATTTCTTCATGTTTTGTCACTTGAGTCCAGTTTTGAGTAGGCTCAAATTGGTTATTTACTAGCATCCCTGACTTGGGAATTCCTAGGAAATTTCAAAATGTTTTTTATCTTGCATTTTGGGAAAACAGCAAGAGACTTGAGACTTCTGTAAAATTAAATTTACAAATTTGATCAGAACATATCAAATTTATTGTAATTTTTAATTTTTCAAAATGAATATTGTATCATATACAATGATTAAAATTTTATTACAAACTTAAATTATTTAACGACTGCAAAACATTAACATTATTCATTATTTTATACATCAATATGTTTTTTTTTTTTTAAGTGTAATACAATAATTTAATTGTGAGGTCTATGGTTCATTCTGTTAAGTTTTGTTTGGATGGCCAGAGGTGGAGTCAATAAAGGTATGTATCAGCTTGCCATTCTGATGACCTGGGTTCTATTTCAGATCTGGGTACTTAGGAAATTTTTATTGGCAATTTGTTTTGGATATGTCAATTTTGTCTCTCACCACCTGATTGCTCCATTGTAGGCCTGGCCAAACCCATAATAGAATGATTAAAAGGTTCTGTTATTGCATACAGTAGAAAGAGTTAAAAAACAATAATATGTATACTTTTTATATTTGCCCCCTTTCCAAGTCTGTTTGTTCACACAATTATACTTCTTGTTAGGTAGTTTGTTAAGTTAAATGTAAACATTTTGTTTGAATTTGACATACAAGATTTGTCTGCTAAGTTTGGGAACTGAATTTATAAAAAAAACATTTTGGCAAAAAGGATTAAATTTAGCAACAGTCTTCAAAATACACTCCTTCATAATCTATATAAATTTTTGCATACTCTAGTAATTTACATATGCCCTCACAAAAAAGATCTTTTAGCTATTTGCCATTTAGTTTCTTCTGTACAGAATTTTTCTTGAAATTGTCTTCCTTTCAAAGCAAATTTTAATTTGGGAAACAGGAAGTGGTCAGATGGCAGTTTCAATTCTCCAAATTTCAATTTTGAAAATCAAAATGTTTATTTATAATTTTTAATACAAATTCTTATGACAATGCATGCATATATGCATGCATTGTCATTATGCATATGACATTGCATATGACATATAATGCATATGCATACGACATATAATGCATATGACATTGCATATGACAATGCATGCATATATGCATGCATTGTCATAAGAATTTGCATGCATATATGCATGCATATATGTGACATATTTGCATGCATATGTTTATATGCATGTGTATGAATTTGCATGCATATATGCATGCATTATATGACAATGCATGCATATATTCATGCATTGTCATATAATGCATATAATATAATTTTTTTCAATTTCTAGGTATTTTAAACGTAGCTACAAAAACAAAAAAAGATATTGATAATTTTAAGCAATTCATTTCATTTATTCAAAATATTTGTCATCCTGGTTGGAAAGAAAAGTATTGGGAACAGGTAAGGAATTAATGTATTTAGTTATTTACTATAATTACCATGTTAGATGTAAGGAATGTTATTGATTTTCAGGAACTTATAGTACAATGAAGAATAATACAAATTTTAAAGATTTAATATTATCATAATTATTAAATATACTTTTTTAATCTTCTGAAACTGTTTTTTCTAATTTCTTTGATTCACTTAACACAAGATGTGTTACAATTTCAACACTTGGCGATATTCCATCTTTATTTAGTTGATATGGTTACAAGTATAATAATATGTTTCGGGCACTGCTTTTCCTCAGTCAATGTGAGAGTTGTTCTTGATAACTTTTCTGGATGGCTTCCTTTTGGTGACAAAAGTGTTATTGTACTTGTAACCGTATCAACTAAATAAAGATGGAATATCGCCAAGTGTTGAAATTGTAACACATCTTGTGTTAAATGAATCAAAAAATATACTTTTGTTAAATTTAGAAGAATTTAATATTATGTAAAAATAAATTTAAAGGTTTTTGATCAAAATTTTCAAAATTTTTATAAGTCAGTTCATTAATTTAAGTTAAGTATTAAACTTATTATAGATGCCAATCTTATCTCTAATGTCAATTAGATTGGCACTATTTGATTTGTTGTGTTGTATTATGGTATGATGTTGTTCTTTGTATTGCACTTTTTTAGAGAGATCTGAAAAATGGTTTTATTTCATGCAATTTTTATTTTGTACAATAAACTTTATTATAATTATTATTATTATTATACTGTGTGGAGTGGATTATACTTGGTTGACACTGGTTGCTGTGTACTATTCACAGCAACCAGTTTCAAGTGTTGTTCCTGTTTTCCTTTGGAGTTGCTTGAGATCTGTGTTTGTCTAGTGTATGACTCCAAAAGAATAAGCAAGTACAGGGTATGTATTAATAGCTTTAATAGTATGTTTTGCATTTAGGTGTATTTTTAGTACTGCATGGAATTGGTTCTGGTATTCAAGTGTTAACTTTTGTTTTATTAATGCATGTTCTGTAAGTTTGGACTATTGGAATTCTAAATATTTGTAAAACTTGTCCTCTTCCATGGACTCAATAATTTTTTCACTTCTGAGTACAAAGTCTTCTTTCTTTGGAACTCTTTTTTCAATGTGTAGTGTTTATCTAGACCAAACTCCATTTGTATATCATTTGACTATGTGTGTGTAGTTATAAGAGATGATGAAGATGCAGAAAGTTTGATATCATCCATTTAAATGCAGTGTGATAATATAAACAGTGTTGTTTTGTTGTATCTGATATTGTAGCCATATTATATTTTCTTCAATGTGTTAGATAAAGGGTTAAGCACAAGGCAGACCCAAAGCAGACTCAAGGAATCTCCTTGAAAAATTCCTTGTTTGATATGTATTTGATTTGTTTTTATGTGAGTGTTATGGAGGTTAAGATGTAATGTTGTTCTCCAGTGAAGTATGGTAGAGCCAATGAAATTAATGAGCTGGAGATGGATTTTTTTAGATGCCAAGTGTGTGTGGAACACTGTTGGAAGCTTTTCTGTAATCAGTGTATGCCATGTGTATGTTTCTGTGTTGTTTATGAACTTGCCATAGGATAATAGAGTCAATGAGTAGTTGTTCTTTGCAACTTTTGTGATTTATGTGGCAGCCTTTTTGTTGTTCTGTAAGAATGTTGTGTTCATTAATATGATTGTATACTTTGTTTACAATACCAGAGGTAAGAATCTTGTAAAGTGTTGGAAGCCTCTTTTGTCTGTACTGTGCGGGGTCTTTGGCATTGTTTTTGGTTTCATGTAAATGATGCCCTGTGTGAGAAAAATTAGTATAGCTTGTGGATTGTTGATGATATGAGTTAAATGTTTAGCTAGTTCCTGATGCAGGGATGTGAATTTTTGTACCAGAAATTGTGAATGTTGTCCAGTTGTATGCTTTCTGCATTGTTCAACAGATGTCTTGTGTATTTATTTCAAAACAGTGCATACTAGGTGTGTCCTGCATGTCTTTATTCTCTTCTTTGATCCAGTCTGCTTCAGCATTGTGCCTGACTGCAGTAGACAAAAGAGAAGACCAATAATTTGTGAGCTCTTATTCAGTTGGCATGCCATTGTGTTGGGAATCAGTAGTGGTATTAATTTTCTTGTAGAAGAGTTTTTTGTGAACAGGATGCTGACATCACCTGTGATGTTTCAGCTCCAGGAACTTTCAAACTGTGCTAGCAGCCACATATGTAGGACTTTTACGCGGATGAAAGAGGGAAATTTTAGAGAGGAAAGGAAGCCTGGAAATAACACACTCCACTATACACTTAACCATTCAATAACAACCATTTATTTGTTCAAGTTTATAAAAATTTTATAAGGGAATAGAATTAGTGGGAGGGTCTAATGCTAAAAGCATGTCAAATTGAGAGAGAGTGTTTACAATTTCATATGCAAGTTGATAAATATTTGAAAGGTTAGTGGTGGTGATCATTGATGTTTCAAGGAGGAAGGCTTGGTCTGGATAATTCTTGATTCAAGAGTAAAGTTCAGGTACTTGTTCATTAAGGGAAGCGGTGAAGGTCCAATAAAAAAAATTTGACAGGAGTTTAAGAAAAGTGGCAGTCGAAGACAGCGAGGAGGTTAACACACAAAAATTAGGCAGGTAAACTGTCTCATTATCTGTCCTCCAGCTTTTATTTGGGGGTCTTCTTCCTGCCACTCTAATGCCCATATTTGGTAAAATTGCTCCAATCTATGATTTTTTTCATTTTCCTTAATAAGTAGATTTTCAGAAAATGTGTCACTCATGGAGAAGTGTTATTGGTGGGAAAATCTTACAAATTTCCTTCACTGCATTTGTGAAATAAAATACTTTGAACAAAAAATAAAGAAGATTAAAATTGTTGAATTTACACTAGCCCAGGTTCATTTTCATTGTTTGTGAATAATTTTTGTTGTTTCCAAACAGAACAAATTTTATATTATTAGTCGCCATGCTTTGGCTGCAAGTTTTTGTTTCAGTGTATCAATGTACAGTATTCTACAATGTGTGCTTTTTTGAAAAAGTTTTTTATTTGTTTCATTAATTTAGGTGTTGTTTTGTTTTTAACATATCATGTCAGCTTGTCTAGCTGCTGTCTAATTGTTATGTATTGTGGTGTATCCCACCATGTATATGTATGTTTTATTCGATAATATTCTGTTATCTATAATTTCCTCTTCTACATAAATAACCCGCACTATTTTTTCCTTGTTTGAATCTTCTAATCTATATACACTTTCTGGCTAGTTTTGGACTGAAAAGGGGGCAACAACCGACAAGGCAGCATAGGAGGACTTTACTTTCTTATTTATTCTGGGAGAAGCAAGCAAGGGGAGAACCACGTGAGGAGAGAAGGGAACAAGTCCATGTGGTCAGGGAGTGTACGTCAGAAGACTGCCCAATTTGTCGTACAGATAAGGGGGATTTCCTTCTAATTTAACCTTTCTATACCTTTTTCTAACCTAAATTATCTTAGTTTATATTTTAAGTTGTTAGTATAAGTAGTATTATAATATGGTCACATCGGATTGTGTACTGGTCGGCTTCAGGACCTGCACGTGGAACCGGATATACGAGCCTTGTTAAATAGAGAAAAAGAGGAACAATTTTGTATTATAGACGGTTTTGAGATCATGTATTAAAATTAATTTGGAGATAACTGTAAATAAATAATTTCCTCCATCTTTAGTTGAAATTTGTGTTAATACGTGGTGTATTCTTGTATAATATGGTTTTTCATTAACCCGTCACACCACAGTATATAAACCTCCATGGAATAACCCACACCAAATTGCCTCTTGACCTAGTTAGGTAACCCTGCACCTCTGATCTTTGTTGTGTTCATTTGTCTTCGATCAGTCATATGTTAGCTGTAGTGATACTTAGACCTGGAGGCACAAAGTTACATTTGATTATAATAAAGTTAATTATATACGTTAACAAGAGTCATTTAATTTATGGACTCAACACTAATATTGTTTATTTGTATTTCTATTCTTCTTTACTATGCAGGCTTCTGAAATGTTTTTGATCTGTGTGTGGATGCAGTTTTATTCCATGTCAAGTCACTACTATAACTTCACCTGCATAGACTAGTATGTGGATGTCTGAGAATGTAGAAATAGAATGAGTGTAATCTGGTAATATGTAAGCATTCACAAAATGTAGTGTTTTTCCTACTAATTTAGAAGTGTTGATTTTGGGAATGTGTTGCCATTGTGCAGGGTCAGTGCCTGTAAATTTAGTGAGTGCTTCTTGAAAAAGAAGAGCGAGAGTATGAATTAAACCTGAATCTATTTCAGGCAGTGAAGAAGTGTTGATATTGTCAGTAAGTTGATTAGTGAAAATAGTGGTGGTAGGAACAGTGCATGTATCAATGCATGTATCTTGATGGATAATGTGATTGTTGTTGATGTTGGGAGTATTTGTTTGTTGGTATAATTGTTCTGCAATTTGTTGTATGATATGTGCTAATATTGTTTGTGGTATAAGATTGTTATGTATAATAGTTTTTTTTTATTGTTGTTAATCAAAAATTAACAATTATACATAACCTTATACCACAAACGATACTAGAACATATCAGCCCTTTGTACTTGAGAACAAGTGATATAACTGTTGTCTGTATGCTGTCATGTCTGTTTTGTGTTTTGTGATGATGAAGTAAGTATGGATGATAAACTCATTCATTTCTGATGTCCATTTCATTTGTTAGCATGGTTTACCTGCCTTAGTGATCTGTGACTGAATTGCCTCAGAAACGTCAGGGTTCGGCCAGTTTCTCACAACTGGTGTGGGCATTGCAGTATCCATACTTGGACCAGTGCTGCTTTCACCATAGTGGCCAAGGGAGATTGTGATATATTTTTCAAACATGAGCCTCTGCCTAACTCATGAGTGTAAATATTGTTAACCTGGGCAACATCTACACTTGGATCGTGTTATTACCATTGTTAGATCTCCACAGATGTGGATCTGTGGAGATCTAACATTGAGTGAGGTCTGTGGAGATCTTCATTTCTCCCTACAGACCTCACTGGCTTGGATAACCCTTCCAGGAGCAAGTGTTCTAGCTAGCATAACTTTGTGGTTCATCAGAATTACTGAGCTCTCTCACCACAGCAAGATGGTGACTGGCAAGAGAGTTATTATTATGTTGCAGATGTCATGTTCAGCTGATACTTGTGCCAAGGGCTATGCCAGACTAATAAAAAGCATTTATTATTATTATTACTATTATTATTAATATAATACTGTAAAGTTAAAAACAAATTTGTTACTTAAAATTTTTTAAAAAGAGATAAAAATAATAAAAACAAAAATGAAGTTAAAAAATAAAAAATACTTAGTGTCTACAGTTTTCATAATAATTGATAATTAAACTTTAATCTTACAAGTTAAATCTTAAAACTTTCATATTATGAATTTTCTAAATTGAAATTAGTTACATGAAAGAAAAAATTCATTTGTAAAAATTTGAGGGTTTTTCAAGTTTAGGCAGTATTTTTTTATATAAAAAACATTTTAAATATTATTGATTTGAGTGATTTATACTATATTTAAAATTAACTTAAATTCTATATTTTTACTAAATTTGAATAAATTTTGAAGATAATTTTTTTATTTCTACAGACATATANTGCTACGGTTCAGTAAGCACTAATTGGTCATCGAGTCCGATGTTGACGCTATAAAAAGGCGACAGTTCGACACACCGGATATACGTCACTCTTGTCTAAGTTCGACTTGGGCATTTTTTTGTTCAATAATAAATGTGAATTCTTCCTGGAAAAAATAAGACATTCCCTGAAAATAAGACCTAGCGCATTTTTCAGAGCAAAAATTAATATAAGACACTGTCTTATTTTCGGGGAAACACGGTAATATAAAATATTTTAATATATCAATTATGGTATATTGTTTATTAAAGAATTTAACATCAAATTTTTATTAGCTATCTCAAGAAACCGGAATTGAACTACATCCAAAATCAATGGACTTAACTATAGAAAAATGTATAGAACTTGGATTACATAATTATCAGCATAAAATATTGAAAATTGCAGAAGAAGCGAAGAAAGAACATGCTATTGAAAAGGTATTCAACTTCTGTTAGTTTTTGTATTAACTTGTTTAAACCTTATGAGTAAATAAATTTAAAAAATTTAAGGCTTTAGAAAAAATGAAAGAAGAGTGGCGACATTTTACATTTAAATTTGCACATTATAAAGATACTGAGTTATCAAACATTATTATTCCTGATGACTGCATACAGCTTTTAGATGATCAAATAGCTATGACAAAAACAATTTATACCACTTGCAAAGAAGAATTTATTGAGGTGCTAAAAAGTTGGGAGAAGACACTAATTGCATGTCAGGTATATTCATTTATTTAAAATGATTAACTTAAAATGTATTTAATAATGCTTTAATCTTCTAGAATAGTTGAATAAATTCTTATAAATATTTTATTAATAGAAATCTAACTATCATTATTTTGAATATGAATAGTGTAGCTTAGAAGCAATGAATAAATGTCAAAATTCTTGGTTAACATTAGAACCCATATTTAATGCAAAAGACATAACTGAAAATCTGAAAATGGAAAGCAAACAATTTCTTTCTGTTATTCGTATCTGGATTAAAGTTACTGAACAGTGTAAGGATAAAAAATATGTGAGTACTTTTAGAGTAAATAAATGATTCTCAAACATTATTATTAATAACTTATTATTTTAAAATATTAAATTTGTTATTTCTCATGTTTCAGTATACTATTACTTATAACAATAGATACTGTACAGTTTTTGATATATAGTAAATCTATAAATAATGAAACAGTGTGAGAAAAAGTATATTAAATTATTTTAGATGTATATATGTATTTGATATAAGTGTAATCAACATAGATCTTCCTATACTATTTATATGTTCTACAAACTTAAATAATATATTTTTAAATATAACATCTGCTGAGTTGTTTTTATCATTATCAATTATTTCTGAATACCAGCAGATTTATATAAATATTCAAATTGCATTATTTATTATTCCTCATTTCATAAAGATTTATTTACCGTCATTTGTCTTATTTGAACAAAGTTTGCATAATTACTAAATTATATATATCAGAAAGAATTTGAGTTTTAATAAAACTTTTAAATAGTTGTTAGAAATAGCAGGCTAATTAATAACAACATTAAACTAAATTAGTTCAAGAAGAATAAATTATTTTATTGTGAAGTTTTGATTGGATGAAGTTTTTAAATTGTAAAACTATAGATTCCCAATGTTGTCTGTCTGTCCAGCTAACCACCAGTCCATTTTTAATCTTGAAAATAGAATTAGATAGGTGAAAATCAAGACCAGATATGGAAAGTTTAGGACTAGAGGCTTCAATTACCTATATGTAAACTTTCAGTCTGGACCAGAAGTCATGTGATCTTTTAAATTAAAATATGTTAAAAAGTTGCAGCCTGGTATTGTGACAATGTCACAATAAGTAATTGCTCATTTATGTTTGATTTTGTTGTGAATTGAACTTTATAGTTGTTATACTGTAGTTAAATATGAATAGTTTATTGTTTTTTACAATTTAACTACTGTGTTTCCCCGAAAATAAGACATCCGCAGAAAATAAGACCTACCACAGATTTTGCTGAATTGCGAAATATAAGACCTCCCCCTGAAAGTAAGACCTAACGAAGTTTTTTTAGTTGTAACGGTCATCGACAGATGGTTGAAAGTGGCCGTTGGCTTTTTGAAAGTACAGCCACTGATTGGTCAGCAGACAATTATGCCACACTGCATGNATATTATACTATATGAGCTTTTCTGGAGTTCACTATTATATACAAATTATTTTCTAACATAAAATAGTTTGTTTTTCTGTTATATAATTCTTTTATTTTATTTGAGTAATAAGAAATAAAAATAAATAACAGGACCAAAAATGAGTAATATTTATGATGTAATAATTATTAAAAATAAATATTAAAAAAATGAAAGTATCAAATTTTTTTCTATATTGAAAGAATTTAGACATTATAAAGTACACATATTAACATTTTCTTTATAGATATTAATATTTTAAAAAATATTAAATTTAAAATTTAAAATTATGTGAATGAAAAGATAAAATTAAGTGAATTTTTAATTATTACTCTATTAAAAATATCTTTATTGTTTAGGTTTTTGCTGTTTGTAGTGATGAAATAATAATGAAATTATTACAAGATAGTAATCACATATTGGAATCCATTCAGAATGGCTTAATTAAATTTTTGGAAAGAAAACAACTTGCATTTCCTCGTTTCTGTTTTCTTAGTTATAATGAACTGCTTCAAATCTTAACTCTGGCACATGATTCTTTGGCTATTCAATTGTATGTAAGAAAATGTTTTGAAAATATAACACAGGTATGTAAATATAATGTTTGTTTATAATGTTGTTCACAAATTTTTATAAATCTTCTAAAGTGTAAATTTCTGCATTTATACATAATAGTAAAATAAAATTATAATTTTATATATGATATATTGATATTTTTATATCTGTTAAACAAATATTTTTCAGTTGAAATTTGGTGATAATCTTGAAATACAAGCTATGTGCTCACATGGAGAAGTTGTTGCTTTCAAAAATAAGTTTTTTATAACAGAAAATGTTGAAGTTTGGTTTTCTAATCTTGAAGAAAATATGAGAAACAGTCTTCATCTTATTATTTTAGATGCTATATCAGATTATAAAAAGGTAATGTACAGGGTTCTATAATTAAAGTTCACTTATTCCAAGGAGTTTGCAGGAAAACCTGCTTAACAGAATTGAACAGAAAATTTTAGTTTGTCTTAATGAGGTCATGGGAAGGAAATTCACAACAAAAAAATATTAGTTTCAAAAATCATTACCACAGGATAATTTATAAATTTATTTCTGCATTACAATGCAGTAAAGTGATGATTTATTATTCACCTCAAAACATGTTCAATATGTTGATCACCATTACTTGCTATCATCTGAAATGTCAGAATAGCATGTTTGACTGTTGACCACAATGTCTTTCTTGAAATGTTTTCCCTTGAAAATGAATCTGGTGAACATGCAGGCTGATGATGCATTCATTGGAAAAATTATTTCTAAACTTTATTTAACACAATTTGCTATGTGTGGAAGAGTGCCATCCCACATGAACAGTGTTGATTTAAGTCATTGATGTTGTTGGAGTGCTGGAATCACAGTAATAGTCAGTAATATGATGCAATGCTAGCTGGTAACTGAATATGGAATTTAAAGGAATTTTCAGTTGCATGGGGAGTTTCTCTAGCCCAAACTTTACAATTATACATGTTAATTGCACTATAAAGATGGAAATATGCTTTATTTGTCCACAAATCCTGGTTGTGATTTTTGAAACTAATTTTTTTGCTGTGAATTTTCTTTTCGTGACCTCATTAATACATATTGAAATTTTCCCACAATTTTGTTAAGCAGCTTTTGTTTCAGACTGCTTAGAATATGTGTATTTTAATTAGAGAATGTCTCACAAATCTTGATTGGCTACTGGGGCATACAGAAGGGTGAGTTTATGTTTATTAGCATGTGGAAAGTACAGATTAAATGAATTTAACAGAATTCAGTTCTTGATCAAGATTTGGGAAACAACCTGTACTGTCTCTGTTCTTTTCTCAATTATAATCGTATAATCATCATATTTTAGAATTGATTGAATAATAGAAAAATACCTGTTATTTGTAAAATTTTTTTTATCAAAGTACCCAAACTTGGTTTTAACAGATTGTTGCCAGTTGCTTTTTTTTATGAGTGACTGGCAACAGGATTGCAATTTTAGAAGTAGTATCAAGTCTGAATAATAATTAAAAGATTATTGAGTCCAAGTTTGGGTCCAAATTCAAAAAAAATTTTTTGGAGTTATGATTATTCATATTGAAACTTTCTCGAAGTGCAAAGAATTTTTAAAATATAAAATTTAATATATAAACTACATATCCAATAAAAATTTAAATAATCTACAGGTTATATGGTTATATGCAGAGATTTTTAATAATTTGATCTATGTATGTTTTAAGATCAGCTTGAAAGAAAATGTAGTCTATGTGTTTGTGTTGTAGCAATTTCTTTACATTTTATGCGGGAAGTTACAGTAAGTATATTGGGATGTTATTTATTTATTACATTTTATAAAGGTATTTTAAAATATTTTCTTATGTTTAAAAAAAAATGATTTCAACATATACATAGCAATAATCTCAAAGTTTGAATAAATTAAAAGATTTATATTTGAAACTGCATAAGAATTATTTTGGATGATTGCAAAATTCAGTTAGGATTTATTATATGAAAAGTGTAAATTGGAAGAAAATAGGACAGTTTAAAAATCTTTCAAGAAATATTGAACTTTTTTGCATAATTAAAATTTTAAGTTTTTGAAATTTTTAATTGGCTATTATCATAATAATCTGCCAGAATATATGATATTTAATAAGACATTTTAATTAATTATGGTTTATTTTAAATTTTTGAATGATAAATAATACTTTATCTTATTATTTTTTTCAATAAATAATTTAATGACTGATTTTAAATATATATTGAAATTTGTATATTTTTATAGAAACCTTACAAAGAATGGGTTTTATCATGGCCTGGGCAAGTGGTCATTATTGTATCACAGATACTTTGGACAGCAAAAGTAGAATCAGCAATACAAAAAGGAACAGTCTTACAACTTTCTGAGAATTTATTAAAGGATGTAAGAATATTATTTTATAAAAGTAGTAGTTTAAAGTAGATATGAAATTAAAGATATATTAAAATTTTCTTTATTATCATGCAATTTTCTAACTTTAACAATCTGTTATGATTATTAAAGTTAGAAAATTTTTATATATGGATACAATTTCAATTAAGAAGAAAATTTTTATGATTTAAGTATTAAATAAATGTAATATAATTATTAACTCTCTTATATTGTTAAACTTATTTCAAAAGTGTTATTTTTATGTTTAAAAAATAGAAGCAAAGTTTAAGGCATTAATAGTAATTTTATTATTATCTTTTCTGCAGTTGAATAGTTTACAAGAATTAATACAGGAAAAACTTTCATTTATTCAATATGAAATTCTGTCAGCTCTCATTATTATTAAAGTTTATGCTAGAGATGTTATTAAAGAAATTATGGATTCAGAAGTTAAAACTGTAGTTGATTTTGAATGGATAAAACAAATGAAGTAATATTATAATAAAAAAGTTATTTGAATTTATCTAGACTAAAAGTAGTAATACAGTATTTATTTATTTTAGTATTGTAATATAAGTTATTTAATTCATACTCTTATATCAAAAGAATTTATATTTTTTTTCTTTCAGAATAAAAGTTTCAAAATATTAGAATTAAATAAAATAAAGAAAAATTAGATAATTGTGTTATTTTATTTTAGATATTACCTAATAAACAAACAGCTTAAAATAAAAATTATGAATGCTGAGTGTAATTATGAATATGAATATCTTGGGTATAGTGGCAGATTAGTTATAACACCATTAACTGACAGGTAAGTATAAGAAATAGCTTTCAAAAATTGTCACTAGATATTATTATACATCAAATAAAATATTTTTGTACTCTTGTCTGTTTTTGTAAAATAAGAAGTTTTAAATTACTCTTTAGATTATATTATTCATTCTGTCTATTTATTCATAAAATGTATAAATTTCTTTAGAAATGATATTAATAAAACTGGTTCATATTAAATAGTTCATGCTATTTATATTTAATTTTAAATAAAATAATTAAACAATAATACAAAGATGATATTTAATTTTAAATAAAATAATTAAACAATAATACAAAGATGATATTTAATTTTAAATAAAATAATTAAACAATAATACAAAGATGGTAAGTGGAAATAATTTGCCTACTAATACCAGAAGTAAGGAAGATATGCTTGTCATCCATTCACAACAATACAAATTTTTCAAAAAGCTAAATCAAGTAAATAAGTTTTGAAAATGTAGGCCAAAAATACTTAAATAATACATGGTGTGTTCAAAAAGTATTGGACCTTTGGTCGGCAAAAATAAATTTATTGACTTTGAGGTACAAAAACCCTAATCCCCTTCAAAGTAGTCTCCTTGGTAATGTATACACTTCTCCCAGCGTTCCTGCCATTGCTGGAAACACTGCTGGAACGCATCTTTTGGAATGGCCATCAGTCGGTCCGTTGGATTTTGCATGATGTCTTCTCTCAACTAAATTTGGGTTCTTTTTAGCGGCATTTTCAGCTTGGGAAATAGCCAAAGGTCACACGGATCCATGTCGGGAGAGTATGGAGCGTGACGAATCACAGGAGTGTTATGTTTGGCGACGAAAGCCCAAATCAGATGCACAAAATGGGCAGATGCGTTATCACAAAGGAGCTGCCAAGTTTTGATCGACCACAGATCCGGTTGTTTGCATCGCACTGTATCGGAAAGACGATGAAGGACCTCCTGGTAGTACTCCTTTGTGATGGTTTGGCTTTGTGGTGCGTACTCACGATACACCACCCCACGAGAGTCGAAAAAACTGTCAACATGACCTTTGATATTGCTGCAGACCTGCCGCTCTTTTTTTGGCCTCGAGGATCGTCCCCGAAAGCCTGCTGAATCTTGCGAATGGTTTACGCTTGGGTATCGCCAAGGTTTTTGGCAAAATTTTTGCTGCTCACGTTGTTCAGTCATTTTCCAGCTTAGTGGAATCCGACGAGAGCGCACTACATGACCTCACTCATAGGCCGATTGCCAACGACTGATGCTTCCTGCAGGCGGGAAAAATTCAGGGCTGTGCATGACTGTCCCCTCCCCAACTCCATCGAAGGAGGCCTCTCGCGCATCATTGGTGTACGCGGAAAAAAAGGTCAGATACTTTTTGAACAGATCACGTATATTTTTATTTTGCTAAATTATAAATTTCTTTTACGTATTAAATACTATTTAGTAGTTTTTTTTATGAATATTACATTACATTACTAACATGATTATTGTATTACATTTTAGATGCTACTTAACCTTCATTAATGCTTTATTCTTTGGATATGATGGGGCAGCTATTGGTCCTACTGCAACTGGAAAAACAGAAACCATAAGGGTATAACCAGTTATTAGTTAATTTTTAAAAATTTTCATATTTGTGTGTACAGTTTACTCTTAAATACTTATTCTTTAGGTATTGGAAACTATACCTATACTTATTCTCTAGGTATTGGAAACTATATACTGTGTAATCAATCTTTCAGATAACATTCATGAAAACTTATGAACATTGATAATTTATTTGTTAACTATTAATATTAGAATTCACATATAAGTAAATAGTTTCAAAACTTTATAAGTTAAATATACCCACTTTAATTAAATAATGTAAATATTAAGAAAATTCAAAAGAAAAAAGATAAAAATATCACTATATAGGTTTTTATTAATGTGTAAAATGTGTGGCTACATGCCATATTTTAAACTGTATGATTTGTATATATATCTTCACTTCACCTTCGTCTGTCCTATTTGTTTACTCTTCTATAATGTTATCGTCTTCTTATTGACTTGAGTGTGTGGGTGGACTGAGAGGAAAGGAATGAATGGAAGGCTTTTGAGAGGGGATATGAGTGGACTAAGGTGAGAGGAGGAACGAGGGGGAGTTAAGAAGGGGGAGAATGAAGGGAGTTAGGGAAGAGGAGAAACGAAGGCAGACGGGAAGTGAGAGGAGAAGGGAAAAGATGGGAGTCTGAGAGGAAGGAAGTGGAAAGGGGAGATCGAAAGGAAAGCCTCCCTTGTAAGTTTGACATTGTATGGTGAGAAAAGAAAAAGAGGACTTTAGAACGAGAGAAAGGAAAAGGAACTTAATTGAGAGGAACCAGACGGATCGCCCCTTTTGGATTAATATCTCAGCGTGAAACAAGAATTGAATGAATCAGCCCCCCCAGACCGATGAGAAGCCTCATCCACGAGCCCACACAATTCAACCTGCATCATCTTTCCTTATTCTTTTCTTTCACCTTCTAAATCTTCGAATAAGCTGGCTATATTCAATAAGTTTAAGTAGTAATAGGAACCTAGTATTAAGTAAGATAATTTTAGTTAATCGGATGTTCGGTTCGGGAAAAGGGACAACCAGAATTGTTGGTATCCTATGAAATCCTGTATTTGAACTAGCAAGTTAATAAATAATTGTATTTTATTTTATCTAATCTGGAGTGTGTGTCTCTGTATAACTCGCTGATTTCACAAATGTATTGAGATTTACTAATTTTAAACCTTGATGTCCACATTTTTATTACAATACATAGAGTTTAGAAACATTTATTTTTTATACTTGTGAACTTTGATGACCATAATGTTTTTGTGATGCAATTTGAAAAAATTATAGACCTATAAATTCCCACTGTTGTCCATCTGTCTTTCCTTAATCTTGAGAATGGTGTTAGATAAATGAAATTCAAGATCAGATGTGGAAAGGCAGGATGCTCTGCTTAATTATATATAAACTTCCAATGCAAACCAGAAGTCACTTTATTTTAATTCAAAAATTTTCCCTGAAAGGAGCTAGATAGATGACTGGCATGACCTCATTGCTAATTGAAAAGTATGATGTACAGGGGCAAGACACTTCAGTACTAATTTGAGATGGAGAGCATATATTTTAAATTAAATAAATTAAAAATATAATTAGATTTGTTAGGTTTTCAATTCAATAATTGCTTGAGTTATTATCTTTGGCAGGTTCTAATGTGAATTAATAACAGATATAACATGCAACTTTCTATTNTGAGGTGGAGAGCATATATTTTAAATTAAATAAATTAAAAATATAATTAGATTTGTTAGGTTTTCAATTCAATAATTGCTTGAGTTATTATCTTTGGCAGGTTCTAATGTGAATTAATAACAGATATAACATGCAACTTTCTATTCATTTCTTACAGATTCCACCTTTAACAGGATAACTGGGAAAAATTTGGTGATAATGTGAAAAAAATAAAATTTGTATTAAATAACATAGAAAAAGTTTAAAAGTTTAAATAGTAAAATAGATGATTTTTTGTGATACTTTAAAAAGTGTATCTGTAATATTTAATACACAAGTAAAATTTGTATAATAAACAAACTAATAAAATAATAATAAGATTCAAATTTTTAATGAACAAATATACAGTGGAACCTCGGTATACGACCTTAATCCGTTCCTGGTGTTTGGACTTATACCGAATAGGACGTATACCAAACCAACCTTTTCCATAAGAAGTAATGTAAAAATAATTAATCTGTTCTCGTGTAAAGAAAAAATGGCTGGCTTTAAATACCTCGCTTTCCTTGCTAGTTTCTGCTTGATTTTTCATGAGATCAGCATGTATCCTTTTAACTTTCTCGCAAATAATTTCTTCCGATACACTGTCGCCGGCACACTGTTTTTCAGTTATCCAAAGCAAAAGCAATTTCTCGACATGATCCAATGTCTTCGATCTCTGTTTAGAAATTGATTTAACCCCTTTCGCAACGTTAGCAAATTTAATAATGTCTATTTTCACGATTGTCGATATCGTCGTTCTCGGAATATGGAATGCAACAGTTAAATCTCAAATACGTGTGCCACCTTCATATTTCTCAACAATCTCTTTTTTCAGTTCCGTTGTGATTCTAATCATTTTTTTTATTTTTCTGTTGTTGCCCTTTTGCAATTCATGATTAATAAAAATAATAAAATGTTACTTACAAATTAAAATCAGAAGAAATTTAACAAAGTTATAAACTGTAGCACCACAAACGTCTAGTTTAGTGTAGTACACCGATAGTGCTACTTGTTCATAGATGGCGTGTATAATTGAATTAAGTCGTATACCGAACAAAAGTTGTATACCTAGCAAAATTTGTTTCGTCCAAACAGGACGTATTCCAAATTGGACGTATTCTAAAGCAGACGTATACTGAGGTTCCACTGTATTTAAATTAAATATATTTCTCAAAGATCAGTTGATACGTTTTGTCTGAATCTAAATAATTACAATAGAGCATAGTTTATTCGAAAGTCGGTTATCCAAAACGTCGGTTATCCGAAAGAATTCCAGTCGGCAAATTTAAATTTTCGCTAGTGCGGTGGCACTTCAATCTTTGGCTATATCTTGGGCTACTGCAATAATTTTTTTGTTGGTGTGTGTGTTTTAGCTGGCAGCACTGGCACTTTTGTGTGTTGTTTTTCTGAGAACTGTGTGTCATGCTGAATCGAACGTTTTTGATACTAGATCATCTTCTAAAGAATACATTTTTTGGTTTTATATTTTTCAATATATTTATTTTCTTTGTAAGAAATAAACAAATAATTTTTTACGATACAATAGCCATGATTATTATTTTAAAAAGTATACGTTAGGCTTAACATCGACAAAAATTCAACGCGAAGCGACACGCAAAAATTTCAACATGGGATAAGTTAATATATTTTTTCATACATAATTGGTAATCCAAAAAATAAGTTATTGGAACAACCCCAGTCCCCAATTGATTCGGATAAACAACGCTCTACTGTATCATTTTACCTGAACATTGATCAAATTTATATCTGTAATTTTATATTACATTTCAAGTATAATTTTTTACAAATAAAAGTAAAAATTATACTTAAATTTGGTTACATAATTTCAATTAATAACTTAATTATTATTATTTATTTAATTTATTTGGTGTTGCATATTGTATTGATATTTTTTCCTGTTTAATCAAATTTAGCTCTGGTGCTTGGTCATGTTTTGATAACTTTAATAGAATCAATGCTGATGTATTATCTGTTATTGCTCAACAAGTTTCACTAATACAACAAGCAAAAAAACAAAAAGTATTGTAATTTTATATGTATTTAATGAAAATAGTGTTCAAAATTTTTTATACAGAAGAAAATAATATGTTCTAAAACAAAACATATTATTTTTAATTAAAACATATTGTTTTTACTTTACACGATTATTTATATTATTTAAAGCATTATTGAAATATTTTTAAAATTTATTGTAAACAAGCACTAAAATAAATATATATTTTATTGATATGTTTTGGATATGTTTTTAAAAAGTTACTAAAACATTGTATTAAGTAATGTTTACAATAAATGTTAAAAATGATTTAATTTTACTTTATCAATATTTTCAAAATGTAGAATTTTATTGCTAAAGATCTATTAAATTTCTTTTAGTAAAAGTCTGGAAAAATTAAACTAATTTTTGCTCTTTTCAGTATATATATTTTATTATTCTGTGGACTATATAAGATCAGTCACACAGAAGCAATTATCAACTTCTAAAGATATTCCTTGTATTTAATTACTAGATCAATAAAATAAAAATTATATAGATCATAACTGTAACATTGTACTACAGATTAAGTGAAACATTTAAATTTTATTCATAGTGAATTTATTGATTTTTGGTATTTTTATACAATTATCATCTATATTAAGTTTTCTTTATAAATGATAATCAAGAAGATATGAAATTAGTCTTAATATATATTAATGAAATTGATATCAAAGTAGTTATATTATAAAAAGTGTTTTTTAAAATATATTCTTTTATTTGATTTATTATTCTGAGATTATAATCTTGTTGCAAATTACTAGGATTATCATAATTTAGAATGGCAAGCTATGACATTTATAATAATCATAAAATGAATATCTAGGAATTCTGAGTTTAGAAAGAAAAATAATTTTAGTATTAAGAATATATATAATTTATAACAAACCTTAAATCATACAAAAATATAAGATGAATAAGTGAAACTACAGATTACACAAATTAAATAAATGTTTATTTTCCACATTAAGGTAAAAAGAAAATACACTACCTTTTTTTATAGAAATATAGTTATACATAGTGGATGACAATAACATTACTACAAGTCATCTTACACCAGGCATATTCAATAAATAAGGTAATAACACTGTTAAAGAAAAATAACATTGCATACAAGATTGAGACTAGTAATAATGATAGAATGAATTGGATGCATTCTCTCTTCATAAGATTGATGATCTGAACCAGAAAATAGCTTCTTATAAAACTTTCAGCACTTAGATCTACATTGAGCCTACCATCAAATCCACATCCCTAAAGAAGACAAAAATTATACTGATTTTGAAGCTTGTAACAAATTGTAGCAGTTCAAGATCATTAGCTTTTATCTCATGAATGGTGTTTCTGGGTTTTAATGTTCTATCTCACAGTTAATCACTAAAGAAAGCTTAGCCATTACCTTTGCTTATTTGGATGATGTTACTAACTGCAAAAAAACTTAAGAAAAACATGATCATAATTGTGCATATCTTATGGACATGGTCCATAACTTGACACTCAATGAAGCAAAATGCTCCTTTTCTTCTAAGTCTATTTATATACTTGGTTGCCTAATTGAAGGTGGAACAATATGACCAGATTCAGAACACCTTTACCCTCTACTGGAATTACACCTATCTACAGATATGACTTCTCTTTGTCTAACTGTAGGAATGTTGGCCCACTATTTCCAGTGGATAAAGGGTTTAGTGAGAAAATCCAGCCACTAGACCATAGCAAATCATTTCTATTGTTGGCTTAGGCTGCAAAGACTTTTCCAGATATGAAAGCTGAAATATATCATTCTACTTTGACTCTTTTTATTGACAATGTAATCTTTGCTGTTGAAACTGATGCTTCTAATTTGACTATCAGAGCTACATTGTCTCAGGAAGGTAGGCCAATAGTTTTCTTCTCGTGATCCTTGAATGAAAGTGAGAAAAGACATTCTAGCATAGAGAAGGAAGCATATGCTATAGTTGAAGCATTAAAAAAATGGAGATATTTCTTAATTGTTTATCATTTTACACTAATTACTGGCCAACATTCTGTAGTTTTTATGTTTCATTCTAAATCTAATAGTAAAATAAAAAATGACAAGATTTTAAGGTGGAGATTAGAACTATCATGCTACAAATTTGATATTGTATATTGCCCAGGTAGTCAGAACACTGTGGCTGATACTCTCTCAAGAACTTGTTGTGCTGTCTCAAATTTAGATGATCTCTCTACTCTCCATAATTTTTTTTTGTCATTCAGGAATAACTCATTTCTATCATTGGGTGCATAGTAGGAACCTGTCCTTCTCATTAGAAGACATAAAGAAATTAACAGCATTTTGTCCCATCTATGCAGAAATAAAACCAAAATTTCTGAGGTCTTCAAACCATCTCATTAAAGCTATGGCTCCTTTTGAACAATTAGATAATGACTTTACGATTTTTCAAATTTCCCAGAAAAATGGGAACAGGTGTGGTGATTATGCAGACAAACAAAACAAAGAAAGTGTCTACAATGAAATTTTTTTATTGTCGGTTTGTGCGGTTATACATATGTAAGATTCTTTAGGATCCCAACCCCAATATATATACGATTTCTGTAATATATTTATATATTGGTACAAGAGAGTGACACGTTTTTTTGCAACAAAGTGAAATTTTACTTAACCTATCTTAATCTAACTTATATACTAATGAAGAAATATAGAATGAAAAGGTTGTTATTAAGATTAACAGTAATAAGAACAGGACAAGAACGCTGATGGGGTACCCAAGTTTTCTTTCTTCCTTCCTTTAGACTTCGCTGGTATCAAGGTAAGGATTTGCATTGATCTTTCTTCCTTCCTTCTCTTCTGTGGTTTCTCCCTCTAGATGTTCTCAGATCTCACAGTCCTATTTTGTTTCGACAGCCAGGACCTCTTCCTTTCTCCATCTGCCTTGTCCGAACGCTAGCTCCAGAATGAATGTCTCCTTTCCCTGACTTGCCTCAGGGTCTTTTCTCCACACCCTTGTTTGTTGTTGTCTTTCTCAGAAAATGTGTTATCACCAGCAGGGAGGAAGGACCGTTAGAAAGTTTGAGAAAATTTATAAACAAAGGAATGAGGAAACTTAATATTAAGTTTAACACTAAAGACAACTATGTAAATGTTTGGTGTATCACCACACAGGTATTTGCCTTCCTACTTGGTTGTTATCCCCAAGACCTGCTTTACTACATTCACATAACCATAACAGTAAATATGCCTCTCTAACTTAGTTATTGGAGGCTAATCTCAGATATCTCAGATATGCCAACATCCAATATCTTGATGGGTGAGCATCAACAGTTTCACTTTGTCACATTGCTCCATGAGGCAAGTCTTTGCCCAAAGAACTGGGGGAAGACACTGTTGTTCCTAATTCTTCTGCCCTGGTTCCAGGACAGACAACCCCAGATGTTCCTGTGGTGTCTCTTTCAGTTGGTGAAAATGATTTACATTCCTCTCAAGCTGAAGATAAAGAAGATACTTTTTCACCTCCAATAGAAGTAAACTGGTCACATCAACCTATAAGACAGCACTGTCAGCCTTTATATTTGAATGATTATATTGTGTAATCTAAGTTGAGGAGAGTATGGTATTATGGTAACATGTTCCTGCCTTGTTCAGTTGTAACCACAATGTTTGAACTGGCAGTTACCATATTCTCGTAGTGTATTTTTAGACACGAATAAAGTCTTTTGTTAAGGTAACATCTCTTTATATATGACACTACTAACTGTATTTATTGAATCTGTCTTGTATATGCTTTCAGTATTACTGAGCAAAGCAATGCTACCAGATCAGAAAAAGTAATTACACTCATTTTTTCTAAAATGTGTACTATAAAAATTATTCTACAAATTAAGATAATAATTTTTAAATATTTAAATTTCATTTTTCACAATAATATTTAAATTTAGTTTACTTTATATTTCATTATTAAGGACAAAACCATATGTACACTTATAACAAACATTGAATAATAGAATTATTGTTACAAATGTTCAAGTATAAATTATTTATTTACTTTTTTGTTTGTTTTTTCTAAGTTGTGGACTTTTTTCAATTTCAGACATGACTCCAGATGTTGCCCTGATTCTAGAATTGTGGGGTTAGATCTTAACAATAATTCAGTTTATTGTCTGTGACCTTTGTGCAACTGTATAAAAAATTTTAGAGCAACTTATTTTCTAAAATTAATTTTAAAAATTAAGTAAATAAAAGTTTTGATTTATACTTTAAATGATTAATTTTGTTATTTTTAGTTAATGCACTTTGTTTTCGATGATGATGATATATTATTAAAGAATTCCTGCTCCATTTTTATAACAATGAATCCTAACCATATAGGAAAAGCAGAATTACCAAATAATCTAAAGGTATGTTGAATAATAAAATCAATGATTACAATAAAATTTAAATAAATAACGTAATTAATAAAATAAATTATATATAATATAATTTCTTTTATTCTTAAAAACTACTCAATATCAATAGTGGATACTTTAAAGAATATAAATTGTATAAATTGAAACTGTTTGGTATGTTAACTTTATTTTTTTTTAAGAGAAAAATGAAAATTGCTTTGGGAAAGTAAATAATTTTTGTTATTTATGTACAATAATCATTATAAATTCTTACTTATAGCAACAAATATAAATTATTAGTATTAGGAAAAATTTATGAAAGACACAAAATAATAAATATTAATTGCAAGTGCTTAACATTGAATAAATGAATATATTTTTAACATCTTTTTTTAGCATTATTTTGAATAATACACAAAGCAAAGAAATTTATGTTAGAAGAATTTATTTGCTGATTTCTGCATTGAAATCTTCTTAACTTACTTTTATTTTTTACAACTGACTATATTAACTAAATTTTTTCTTCTTTCCAGAGAGAGTGAAATTCAAGATGATTTTGATTTATTAACAGATTATATATAAATAACGTAATTAATAAACAATTTAAAATTTTTTTATTGAAAAAAGTCTAATTTTATGTAAATTATCTTATTTATCTATAATTAGTCTTTTTTGTATTTTACTCATTAAATATTTTTAAAGTCATTGTCATTGTGTTGTGTTCATGTAAATAGAATTGAAAATTACAAATATTCAATATTATGTAATTTGGAATAAAGATAGACATTATGCTTTCATCCTTTAGTTCAAATGATCAATTTTTTTTCCAGAATAGTCTAAATTAATTTATTTCTAATTGTTAAATTTAATACAAGATGGAAGCATAACCATTTACCTTTAGTCCAAATTACATAATATTTATTTAATTAATTAGGCAAGTTTTAGCCTTCCAATTAATTAGGTTTTATTATTTGATTACTATATATTTTATGAAATAAATTTATCATACATATAGTTCATTTCATAAAGTTCTTATCTTAACGTAAAAAAATAGTCATTTTAAACTACAGTAGAGCATCATTTATCTGAAAGCCGATCAACTGAAACGTCGGTTAACTGAAAGTGTTCCAGTCGGGCTGTGTTGTGCTGAATCAAAGGTTTTTGATACTAGATTAACTTCTAAAGTATAATTTTTTTTGTTTTTATATTTTTTAATATATTTAGTTTGTTTGTATAAAATAAAGAAATAATTTTTAATGATACAATAGCCACAATTATTATTTTAAAAAATTTGCGTTAGGCTTAACATCGATGAAAATTTAATGCAAAGCAAAGAAAAATTTCAACACAGGATAGGTTAATATATTTTTTCGTACATAATCGGTTATCCGAAAAATAAGTTATCTGAACAACCCCAGTCCCCAATTGATTCAGATAAATGACATTCTACTGTAATAATAAAGATATGAGGCAAATCAGGAGTCATGGCAGTGAAAAGTGACCAGTAAAAAGTCACTGACTGACTATACATATAGGAATCAGAGTTGCCGATTTTTGGGGATTGATTTCTCTGTTCCCCAAACACCTGATTTTGAATATCTTGTTTGAAAGAAAATTGTTTTATTAGGTAGTGTACAAATTTCAGATTTTCTGTAATGTGGTTGTCGAAATATAAGCAATTGAAAAATGCAAAAATTGCCAAAAAAAAAAATTATGTATATTCTTCTCCTTCTTCTCATCCTCTTTTTTCATCTGGCACTGCAGATGCTTATAGAGAAAAATCTACTGGGTCTAGAAAGCTCAAATTTTAAATTTAAGTTCTTCTTGTTATCAGTGAGGTGCTTGCTGAACTTCCAAGTTGCTAGGTCAAAATTCACGGGTGTTTCCCTACAAAGCTAATTCAGTTTTACAACTTAATTTTATACTTATAAAGAGAAAATTGCATGGAAACGAATTTCATTCAAAATGTTACTCAAAATAACAAAAACTCAAATTTATGTGAATTAAAACTTTTTATAATGATTTTTATAAATGGTGTATTGATCAAAATGAATATTGAAAGTATTAATTGGCAGCACATTTGGTCAGCATTGTGTTCAGTCAACGGTTGCTGAGCGCCAACCAAATTGTACATCATCATGTTATGTCTTTGTCTTGACATAATAATACAATTATTAAACAAAAACAATTGATATTCAAAGAAAAACATGAGATGTGAAAAAATTACTCCAACTAAAAGCTTATGACAATTTAGATGACAGTCAAAATTTTTTAGAAGTTTTTCTTTGGTAAAGATAAGCTTGGTGCTTTTAAGTAATACCCACAAGATTTTTATCTGTATTATTATTTTCTACATTTTGCTTCTAAGTGCCTAGCTTATCTTTATCAAATGAAAACTCCAAAAAAAATTTTTTTTTGACTGTTGTCTAAATTGTTTACTTGTCATAGTTTACTTGGTGAAATTTTTTACATCACAGATGTTTTTGTTTGAATATAAGGTATTACAATTAACTAGCTTATTATTCACAAAAATTAATGTGTGAATTTAATAATAGATATTGTTATCATCTGTTATTAGAAACAATGTGGGAAAACAGACAAATACTTTTTTAAGTGAAAACATTTTTTGAAATAAATTATACATGTTAACGGATAAGTAATATCAAAGTGATATATGTAGATTTTTGTGAAATAAATTTTTAAAATGTTAATTATTCTAACTTTAACTGCTTATTTCATTATTATTTATTTTAACTGACTTTTTCAATTAACTGATTAATATATAATCCTGAACAGATTAGTTGAGATGCTTTTTACTATATATAACTAACATTCTGTTTTTGTAGCTCTATTTTAAACATTTTTAGCTTATTATTTTTTATTTTAATCGATGAAAACAAAGTTGAATGATTTTAGATTAAAGGCTTAAATTTATCAATGAGATCAATTATTATTTTCTATTATATTTACAGATTTTAGTCAAATTATAAAAATCATTTAAAGATGTAAAATATTGTTATATTTATATTATATATTAAATTTATTACAGAATATAGTTTAGGTATTTCATACTTGCCAATCTTACATTATAGATGAGATTGACTTGTTAGCTAGGAAAGGCTGATTTTGGAACACAAAGGCTGAGAAATAAAAATACAATTTGTAAGAAGATTGTCACAAAACTTGCAATACTTTTATCCATTTATTCAATCTTCAATTTTTTTATCACAATAATAGATTTATAATAATAGCTTTTCCTCCAGACAGATTACTGGTAGTAAAAAGATTAGAATATGGCATAATAGAAAATTGTACTGTAGATAATATGTATTAATTATTGGATTGTTTGGGAAGTAATTTCTTTTTCTTTTATCACTAGAGGGATTAGTTGTATTTTTACCTGCCATTTTAATTGTAAACCGTATTATCATTATATATTTTGACAGCTGGCATTTTAAGGCTTATTTGTAAAAAATTATGTTTGATTTTGTGCAATTGTTTTTTTTTCTTTTGTGTTCCATCAAATATGAAAGATCAAAAGCAGCATTTTCGGCATATTTTGCTCTTTTATTAGGTAAGAATGCTGTTCAAGCAAGAAAAAAATAGTGTGACATCTATGGAAATGTATGTATTGACAGAACGACAGTGCCAAAACTGGTTTGCAAAATTTCGTTCTGGCAATTTCGATATTGAAGATGCACCACGTTCTGGAAGGCCAGTGAAGCTGATGAAGACAAAATAAAGGCATTGATTGAAGCAAACCGCCAAATAACAACATAAGAAATACTAAGAGATTAAATTTGTCTAATTCAACCATTTATGATCACTTGAAATGACTTAGTTTTGTTTCAAAGCTCGATATATGAGTTCCACATGTTTTTAAAGAAAGAGATTTGTTCCATTGCATTAACATCTGTGATTTGCTTCTCAAACATCAAGAAAATGATTCATTTTTGAAATGAATCGTGACTGGTGAGAAATGGATTGTATACAACAATGTTGAACACAAGTGATCATGGAGTAGAAAAGATGAGCTGGCTCAAAGAACTTCAAAATTCGATATTCATAAAAAAAAGTGATGCTCTCTGTTTGATGGGATTTTAAGGGAATTGTTTTTTTTTTTGTTTTTTTTTGAGCTTCTACCAGACAATTCCACAATTGATTTGAAAGTCTACTGCCATCAACTGGACAAATTGAGTGATATCATCAAACAGAAAAGGCCAGAATTGATCAACAGAGAAGATGTAGTGTTTCACCATGATAATGCCAGACCTCACACAAGTTTGATAACTCATCAGAAGCTGTTACAGCTTGGATGGGATGTGCTACCACATCCACCATATTCACCAGATCTGGCATCCTTGGATTATTACTTATTCTGATCTTTACAAAATTTTTTAAATGGTAAAACATTTACTTCAAATGAGAATGTCAAAAATCACTTGGATCAATTTTTTGTAGGCAAAGATTAGAAATTTTATGAGCATGGAATCATACTACTACCAAAAAGATGGCAAAAGGTATTGGACCAAAATGGTCAATATATAATTGAATAAAATATTTATATATTATAAGAAAATTGTTTTTTTCACAAAAAAAAAAAAAAAAAAAAAAAACAAAATTACTTTCTGAACAACCCAATATATAAAAAGTTAGTTATTTTTATAAAACAGATTACAAAATTTAATCATTTCTTCTAGGGTAGACAAATATGATTTTGTCAAGTGACTTAGATTTACAAGAACTTTCAATTGGCTTTCTTGTACAAAAGACCAGATGTTCTCACATTTTAAGACAAAATTTCATGTGACAATTTTTTTAGAAAGAAATTAAAAATATTTATTGAAATTCTCATATGCGTACATGAGTTATATGTCTGGCAACATTGAACTTATAGAAAATGTTAAATGTTGGAAAGCAAACAATTGCTAAAAAAAGAAAAATTGCCATATAAACAAACTTGGGTGTTTTAGTGTATTGGTCATAAATTAACGTTTTTGAAGACAATGCATTAAAGTTTTATTTCAAAAAAGATGGAGAATTTCTAGCTTGCATTAATAGCCTGACAACTGCTTCAAAAGGCAAATTCTTAGCCTAGAAGACACAGGGTTGGCAACTATGATATTTCAAATATAGTTATTAGGTTTGCTAATATTATTAACAAATTATATATTTTCCTTATAGATGCTTTTTCGTCCAGCAGCAATGATGGTTCCTGACTTCACATTAATCACAGAAATTTCTCTTTTTTCTTTTGGTTTTAAATCTGCAGATATCTTGGCAAATAAAATTACAACCATATTTAAAATATCATCAAAAATTCTCTGTTTGCAGGTATTTTACTTTTGAAAAGAATTGTTAATTAAATATAAAAATTGCAGTAATGATACTTAAAAATTAAATGAAAATTATTTCAGAATTAGTACTTTGATATAATTGTAGTTAGAGAGGATAGATAAGATTATTTAAATTTAATAATACTATTATTTTATTAGCAAAATTCTTATTACTACTTTTTTAATATGTATTTTAAGAAAAACTCGGACCGATTGAAATGAGCACAGAATAGTGTTACCATTCATCCGGATAGTCCGGGAATCGTCTCGCCGTCCAGGGATATCATGCGCAACCTGAGCATATTGTTCATGCTAAATTTTTTACTTAGATATATCTTACACATTCACAATTATTAATAATAAAAGTTTTAAATATGTAAATAATTTTAGTGTATGAAAAGAAAAGATGGGAAAATAGGACAGAAAGATAAAGAATGATATAAGAAATACCAATAATCTCTGAAAATGAAGATTGCATCAGATTTGTACTAGGGAATTGCACAACTTAGTTGTATTGCAATAAAATTGAGGTGAAGCCAGAAGGAAAGGGATTATCCTTGCACATGCTGGGCAGAGAAGAGATTGTTCTTGCACCTGCTGGCCACAGAGAGGTGATCCTTGCACTTGCCAGCCATGGAAGAGGCAATTCTTGCTTTGGTCTGGCACAGAAAGAGAATCCTTGCACTTGCCATGGAGAGGTGATCCAAGAACAAAGTAATCAACACTGATTGCTTTGTTATTGTATTTTGTTCATTATGGCAACCATTTTCCATTGGGAATATACAATACTATAATTTTTATTTTGCCTCCTTTTCCTAAATTCCATTAGGTGCACTCATTTTTTCTATTACATTTTTGGATTCTTCATCACAATTAAAAAAAAAAGGCAAATTTTTATCAAAATCGCTCAATTAAATTTTGAGAACAAACACAATTCTATAAGCTACATAGAAGAGGCTTTGCTAATACTTTGCCTCAATAAAACTCTTCAATAGTTGGCAGAAAATTAAAATTCTCTGTGGTCTAATATTCAAAAATACTTTCCAACAGTATTAGAGAGTTAATAGAGATTTTAAGTTCTCCACTATTTCTTAGCTGAGAACAAAAATCAGCATATCATAAGATAAGGAACATTTCTTCAATAAATTATTAATGGAAATTAGAAATAAATTCATGTTAACTTTAAGTGTAACTATCAGTAACTGTCTTCTACTTAATTAATAGATGATTTTGCTATCTTGAATGCTGACATTCAAGATAGAAAACGTTTTGCTCAACTATATTTTTTGGATGAGATATTTATTATTGGGATTTACTTTTAGTGTTAATAGTTTGGTCAGATCATACATCCAAATCTATTTTGTCAAGAATTGAATCGTTTGCATTATACATTAATAGAGTAGCTAGAAGAGAGACATTTTGCAGCACAGTAATTCAAGATCAAATTATTCTATAATGATTTAAAAGAAATATTAGCAATATGGATGGAAATTGTATGATATCCTTATGTTCATCTGACATTGTTTTTACAGATTATCATTTATTCTGGTACCTGCAGCAATTTCTTAATGGCAAAATATTCAGGATTGCTGATGTCATTAAAACTGCTCTTTGTATTCTTTATTTCAAAGCAAATTTCTTTCTTTAAAAAAAACAGCTAAAAACAGTGACCAAGAAGTTGATCCCCAGACAGTTGTTCCTGGGACAATTTATTCAAGAGTTTCTTCATATAATTGTTTTCTCCAGTCAGTTTTTACCATATACTTTTTTTACAATTTTTCTTCAGAATATTATTTTCCTAAATAATTTTTTTCAATGTTATTTGCTTAAAGACAAGTAATGTAAATTTCTTTAACAACAAATTGTTTAGTATTTTCTGTATATAAAATTCTATTATATTTTATATCAGAAGTATATAAATTATACCAAAAATATTTTCAAAAGCAAGATTTGTTGTTCACAATTGACTTGTTGGCATCATTTAAAGGAAAATTTTATTTTTGATGTAATTATTTTTTTCTTTGAGGTAAAAACATCATATTATGAAAATGTATAGAATTTTTCCCTAAAATGTAAAGTAAGAGAACAATGATGTTATTCTTCAACATTATAATTCTTATATTTAATTTCTAGTTTAAGCACAAAAGCAAATTTTTGCAGTTCAATTTGGTACTAATGTATACAAACAAATAATGTAGAACTTAAATGAAATTTGTGATAATGAGGGCAAATTCAGAGAGAATATATGAATTAACAAATATTTCAAACAAACATATAGGATTGTCTGTAAAATACAATTAATAGAATAGAACTCAAATTCATCATTACTTAATTATCATGTATAGGTTTAATTAAAGACAGTAGCGTAGCGTAGTGGGGGCAGCAGGGGAGGCCCGCCCCGGGCGGCAAAATTACATTTTAGGGGGTGGCAAAATTTCACAATAAATAATAATAATATCTTGTAAGAATTTGAACCATTTTATTTCATATTTTCGTCCACCTACGACTCGGACCGATTGAAATGAGCACAGAATAGTGTTACCATTCATCCGGATAGTCCGGGAATCGTCTCGCCGTCCAGGGATATCATGCGCAACCTGTTGATTTTTTTAATATTTTTTTTATTTTTTCATTTTTGCTTGTACGATTTATTTATATATATATATACACCTCAATATCCAATACAGCTAGGTCACTTGCGTTACTCCTATCCAAGTCTCCCTAGTCACTAACTGTAACTGATTTAGAACCAGCATGCACTGCACATTATTCTTCGCATTGCAAAATGACATACGCATGCGTCAGGAACTTCTATTCAAACAAACCTCACCTGCCGTCCGGGTCAGCGATTTTAATAAGGTGACAAGACTATCACAAAATTTTTCATTACTTATTCTGTGACGAAACTGAATTTTAGTCTTTTAAACTGAGATACCTAAATAAGGGGGAGCGAAATTTTCCTCTGCGCTGGGCGGCTGACACCCACACTACACCACTGATTAAAGACAGAGTGAATACTTTTATAAGTACAGGTAGGCCTCCTACAACGCGGTACCTTTACAACGCGTTTTCGCTCCAACGCGGTTGGAAAAATGCGGAAATTTTCTTACAACACGGTACTTTTACAACGCGGTTTACCGTATTTAGAAATGAATTATCTTCACATAACAGAAAAATCGCAACGGATCATGTGATACGAGCCGCAGTTCGGCATACAGAGCTAAAAGTCTTTGAAAACAGCTGTTTGTGGATGTTGGCATGTTATTCCCTTGAAAGTTTCAGGGGGAGACTGGTTTCTAGACAGATGTGTATCAGTTATCGTAAACACTCAAATATATCACTAAATTTCGATCATTTATACTCTTTCAATAGGTGGGGACTGCAAAAATGGTCCAAAATACAGTATAAACTTCTATTGGGTGTATATTTTTAACAACACAGTGAAATGAAGTTATTTTTTGTGATTTTTACTGTCCACAAAACTGATTGAAAAAATTCTAGCCATAACAATGCCGAATGAAAAGAAAGGACGGTCGTTAAAAAGGAAATTTATAACTCTTGAAACAAAGATAGAAATTTTGGATCGAATTAAAAATCAAGATCGGATAGCTGATGTCGGTAGGCATTTTAATTTAAATGAGTCGACAATTTGGTTGAGAGAAAAGATCAGAAATTTGGTCGCATCCGGATCATCTATTCTTGCGAAAAATGTTGCTCGTCTGAGAGCAACTATAATGGAAAAAATGGAACAAGTGCTAATATTGTGGGTAGAAGATATGAACAAGAAATGGTTGCCTTTAAATAAAAACTGCACTTAAACACAAAGCCTTAAAAATATTTTATTATTTAAAACAAATGGGACAATCGTCAGCTAATGAAACCAGTGTTAAATTCGTGGCTAGCAATGGCTGGTTTGAAAAATTCAAAAAACGCCACTCAAACGCCAAGTTTTTCTCTTTTTAGAACTGAATCCCAGTTTTTTTATTAAGTCGGTGTCTCCTATAACGCGATTTCCCACAACACGGTATTTTCAAGGAACATATCTACCACGTTGTAGGAGGCCTACCTGTATATAAGTGTAAGTAATACATACCAATTACTTGGTAAAAAGAAATTATGGCTAACAACTTTTTCTGGTTCATGTAACAATTCAACAGTGATAAGATTATTAATTAATTAATTTCTCACATGAATATCTTTA